TAAAATTGATTGCAATTAAGTAATTTTTTATCTAGATATTTTTGGATTACCGCAAGCTTTAAAAATAAAATCATTATATTTGTACAAACAGAAATAGCAAATTATATTTTTCGAGTTATTAATACTTGAACGCGGGATTTCCTGAAAATCATTTCAATCGGCGTAATATACCGTTCGGAGCGTTAATTTCCATGTCCGCACTCGTTCGCCGCTCATTTGCTTTTGCCGCTTCGTTTCGATTCTAATTTCCTCAATTCTTGCGCGTAAAGTATGTAGTTGCTTTTTTCAATTCTGATTTCTACGTAATTACAGTCGCGATTATTTCATTCGCTACGCTAACGCAAACACGTCAATAGACATTATAATACAACATTTTTACGTTGGTGGCGAACGCTGCGTTGAAACATAATAAGCACCACAATGCGATTGAATGTTCTAGTGAATACCGTGTTGTTTATTAAATTAATACATTAATGTAAAGGCTCTGCTTGTATGATATTCAATTACATTTCTGTTTCTAATTACGCACTCACGAGTATTGATGAAACGTTATTCACACTCTATGTTTATACTGAGTAAATCAGAATTAAAACACAAAACACTTGAAATTATAAGTAATTGTAGGTAATAAGTGAAAATTGCAAAAAATATTAGATAAACCATCAACAAATTTTGCTGTGATGTATGAATGCACAACATACGTGATTAAGTAATGCTACATTGCACGAAACATTTTTTTCACAATAATGCAATATAGGCACGTAACTAGCGACGGCGTAAGAAGTGTCGACTTGTATAATGCTCGTTGTAGTTGTCACGCAAGAGAAAATCCAGCTCGCGCACCAGCCGCCGGAGAATATGGAAGCTTTTCGACTTGACTTTAATTGGCAGCGATGCATGTGTGTACGAGAAACGAAATCATATTAATGATCCGCTTCCTATTTTCACCCTTGCGCATAATGCAGTTATTCAACGGAGAGTGTAATTGAACGAAAAGAAATAATCAAAAATCTACAATGCTATGTTACTACACAAAACAGAGTAAACAGTGGAATGTGATTTTCGAATTGTTGCAAAACTACACATGGAACCTTGGCGTGGCGTTGTTGAAATGTGCCATGTTATGAAAACACTAAATAAGGACTTATTTAATTTAATAAGTTATAAAACGCAAATACAGTATGAATTTATGTAATCTAACGTCTCAAATTATAATCAGATTTAAGAAACCTCAAGGAAATCAATATTTGTACTGATATGACTTAAATTTAACGGACTTTTATATAAAAGAACGTCGTTATTCATTTTTTACAGGAAATTCCATAGAGCAAAATTTCGCTGATATAATTTGTCGATAACATCGCAACACTCGGTATTTTATGTAACCCGTTACATCTACATGCATTCCCTCCAACATCGCGCAAGCAATACGCGTTACTTTATGCCGTATATTCGTTCTTAAGCATCAATTTGCATTTTTCACACTCGACGACGTGACATAATAGCCGCTAATAAAATTTTCCTATCCTTCAAGACGCGCAAACAATTTCACACAATGAGAATCTACAAAGTGTTTGCGTAGACCCAACAAATCTAATTACATAAACTAAAAACATGAGTTTTTTATGCATGGAAAAGTAAAGCAACAAAAATGGCGTCGATGCCGCCATTAAAAAAAGTTGTTTGTTATTCCATCGTCATTGAACACACCGCGGCGCGCGGCAACTTGTCCATTGTTCGCGCCGACCGAGAGAGAAGAGCACGCCGCGGTGGTAACCTTGATGAAACGTAAATAAAAATGATTATTACCCATTATGATGCTGTTGCCGTAATAGTACTCGACGTCAGTCTACTGCTGGGGGCTTGATTAATCCAAAATATAAAACATATCCGTCGTGTGCACCACTGTCCACTCAGTTCCCGCCTGCCTATAATCGCATTATGCAACTTTAACAACTTCAACTTCCAACCGCACGATTTCTAAGAATTCAAATTGCACACAACACAACTATCCGCACAACATTCAACTTGCAAAACTGTTTTTCTGTGCGGCGCCGGTTAGATTCGCGCGATTGCAGTATTACACTAGTTGCGTGTGGAAATATTTTTGTGATTTCTTGTCTTGGCCCTCGGGGCCTTCGGCTTCGCGCTCCTTGAGTAACTCTCGGACTCAGGTAGTAGTACGGTACGAGAGCAACAACAACACAACACACTGCCGGCCAGCGATCTCCACCGCACACACAGTATACACTCGTCAATTTGGTAAAAACATGTTTTCAGACGTACATTTTCACGCACAATTCGCAATAATAATAATGCTGTTGTGTTTGATGGAGAGTGGTATGGCGTTGTGGAGTTTTTAATCCGATCCGCGTCTCGTACGCAAGCAACAGTTTGGCGGTTATGCACTTTTATCAGTGTCTCTGGCTGGTGGCGACGCGTCAGACACAGCACACGTGCGCTCCACACGCCAATTGCTTTGGACTGAACCGCGGTGAACGAGACGAACGGCGCGGAGGGAACGATCGCGCGGTTGTGGCGCCATCGTCGGGCTATGCCGCAACGTGCGAGTACTTTCAAATACCACCAGGGCTGTATCAAGGTAATTTTATATTAAAAAAACTAACTTTACCTTCAATACTTAAAATTGACTAATGGTATAATTTATTTTATTGTTATTTTAAATTAAAATCAGTTTTTGATTTATTTTCTTATATTTTAATACTGCACTACTATCTATTAGCCATTGCTCTCCTCTTGGTCCGCCGAAGAGATCTTTGAACAATTCACAAAGAACGACCTCACGCACTCATCGCAATGCGCGTTTTCTATATCTAGTCGAGCACGGCGTGTGTAATTCAGAGACGAAAATCCACAAAATCGTAATTTATGCGGTTTCCCAGTCTACTTCGCTGGAGAAACAATAAACTAACCGAGTCACCGCGAGATTCGGTGGCATTAACATCGTACTTGCGGAGGAAACACAGACAAAACAGTCGGGCTGTGATTTCGACTAAAATTTACGCGGATTGTAATCCTCTGAGTCGACGCCGGAGGAATGCTGAGTATAAAATTTCAAAAACCTCTAAAAGTGTCATTAAAAGCGAATGAATGGTCGTTGATCGACTGCCAAGAACGTAAAAATTGGTGAATCTGTGGAGAGGTTTACTACCGACAAGTTGGACATGTTGAAGATGGATTTTAATGGTTTTATACAAATAAACTTTGTTTTGCAGTATATAAAAATACTTATTTTCTCGTAATGTAAAGATTTTGTATCAAAAACGTATTAAAATGAACTTATTTTAATAGGACTTTAGATTTTAAGAGTGAAAATCAATTAATTACATGCATGCGTATGTATATTGTAATTCACTCTTCATTTATTGAGTGATTCGGAATCAGATGAAAAGATGAATTTTGTCGATCAGATAAAACGGCATGACCTTTTCCAGAAGTTTTTCTTGTAGTATTTGAGTTTTTTTAATTCCCCAATGTTTTAATCGTTATTCTGCTTTGGCAAAAATATCCCAAAATTAAAAAAAATATCAAAATAAATCTAACTTATTACAACATATATCTAATAAATTCTTTATATTTAATATTAAAAAATTATTAAATGATAGAAAAATTACGTAAACATGTCTGATATATACGTAAACCGAATCTCTATCCCAAAAAGTAAATATCTGTTATACACACACGTTAAGTGCATATCATTCGCATTCACAATCGCTCGATGCCAGAAGCACAGATATATAAACTCGATTAAGGTAAACAAGCAACTCCAGCAAACTGGACGGACAGCCACGCTTAATGATTTATTATCTAACTTCTGAAACATGCAATAATTTCGGTGTTTTACGGAATACTCGCTCTCAAACGAACTAATCCGACTGGGTCCACGGTTCTCGAGTTTACACAACTAACGCAGCTCCTAATTAACAAAGTTTCGTTAATGTAAACCGCGTCAAGCCATAAATAACAGAAATATTCAAATTTAATTTTGGACTTGGGTATTGATTGAGCCATTGCCTTTTGCAGATTGAAAAAGCTCCAGGGACTTTAAAAAGATTCTATTTCTATTTGATGGCGGTGCGGCCGAATTTAGCCACGCTTATGTTTTTACTGCTATGAGGGTGAGACGTGTGCGTCTGGCACGAACAAAAACAAGTGTAAAAAGGAAAAATTGGGCGCAAAGCGTGCGGAATCCGTACGAACTCGCGGGGCATATAAAAAACCAAAAGTTTAGACGCAGTGTAGGCGATACATTCATTATTTTCTACGCGGCGCAAAAGTTTGTTGCGTTTCTTTCGCTACGGTTTCAGTTAGTCTGCTTCCACTGCTTTCCCGCCGGATGCCGGCTAAATAACTAAGCAACTTTTCGCTCCCCCAACGAAATCGACGGTTATAACACCAAGCGAATATCGGCGAACATGTTTAATTAATCAATTTGTTTCTGGCGCGTCTACTCTAAAATTTAAAACTAAAACCGTAAAAATTTAATCAACCGATAGTAAAAAAATGTTATAATTTTTTTCCACGTATAAAAATAAACAAGTTCTTTTTATATTTTGTATTATATCCAGCGTGTTTTTGTATGTTGGTGTTTTTTATACGTTTGAATATAATATGCAAGCAGTACCTGAAGACCTTCAAAGGACTTTTCACTTTTGTGAGTTTTGCGCTCGAATGTGGGCAGGTTGGGCATCGCGACTATTTTCATCCGCGCCTCGGCCACGCTGCGAATGTGTTTTGCTTTCAGAACAATGACAGAGCACCAACACCGACGGCCGAAAGGCGCGATAGATTCGCTTGCGTGTCTATGATGTCTCTGACTCAATGAGCCGGTATCGGCTAATCGATTGTCAATGGTTAAAATAACCGGGCGGCCGGCCCGCTGCACATAATATGAAAGAGTTGATGACATTGATGGAGATTCGCGTGCGCGATATCGACGTTCGTACCTGCGCTGGAATGGCATGCATGCAGTGACCTACCTTGAACGCGGAAGAAACATGGAGCCATCGATGAACACCGAACCGGAAAGGAGTATGTACCAGCATGTTGAGAGTTCACCCGTGCTGCAAAACAATTTAATTTAATATTTTATTCAAGAAAAAATTAAAATTGCATTTACCAACAGATAATTTTAAATATAAAACGTATTTTCCTCTTCATATAGGCATGAATATGGATAAATATAGTCTGTGCAAGTGCAGGCGCGCTGTCTGCTCGGAGATTGTATTACTATCATTATAGAACCTGTTCGGAGATGCCCGAATAACCATCGCAATCAACATAGAGAGTAAGCTCTGCTTTCGCCTCCTCGGCGACGACGCGTACCGTACGCATACCGCGGAAGAAAAACGACCAAGAGAAGAGTTCATGGTGGCGCGAGTTCAGCACGAGCGCGTGGCATTCCGTGGAATGCCAGCCGGCCCAGGAAAGCTTCACGAACTGGTTCTTTATTCCGTCTCGTTTGTTTACAAACGCAAACTGAATGCCTTTTAGTGAAAGAGCTTAGTTTACTGTTAATCATGTTTTATGGCTGGCAAATGATAATTAGCATTGATGCGGAATAAATAAACAATTTCAATCACACAACCATGAAATTAAATCCATATTTAAGCCGGCATCAGACGCTATATTAATAAAAACATTCAAATGTTTAAAGAAATAGCATTTGAATTTATGTTGTTATACATACAGCGCCATCTTCAAGCGACTTCAAGTAATTATATTTTACAGAAAACTTACTAGTAAAGAACATCATTTGCTTGGTGTTTCTCATAGCGAACTATTTTACAAAGCGCTCGTAAAGCAGAATCACGCAGAGATTGCAGCGCCTCCAATCCGCTGAGACCGTAATAAATCACTTGTAAATCCTGCAGACTTCTGCACTGCGGCGGGCGACCTAGCGAGCGTACAAACATCTGATCCCAGTCTGTTGCCATCCCGCCGCCGCATGATGGCGCTGCAAGTCTCGCGACCGGTTTCTCCGGCATGATTCTTCACGTGGTGCAACTTTTCTGCGCGCACGTATTCAATATCCCGCTCATTCTGAAGAAGCTCGCGGCGCGCTTCGACGTCCGCTTGCACCAAAACGACGCGACTGCATAACGGTCGATGACATTCTGAAACAAATGATTTGTTATTATACAGTATTGTTCGATTGGATGATAGGAATGACATTTATCGAATTTTGAACAATCGTTTCCAGCGCAGAGTAAATTTTCATGAAAAGCAATTGTTTATTGTACTTTTTGTGCACGTGAGCAGAGTGCAAATTGCAATTGCGGAAGCAGATATAATTTGATAATTTACAATTTCGTTTGTAGGAGTGCATGGTAACAGAGGGGAAACGAATCGAAATGAAGAGGGAAATTGAAAATTTGCTCGATGCCAAGCGAAGTGAACATCTACGCCACTCGGATGTGAGTAAACTGCATGTGCAGAAAATTCATTACACAGGGGTGTCTGCCAGACAGCTAACCCAGGTTGCCAAATATTGATAAAATATTCACAAACACTGCAGTCATAGTCAAACCATTCCAACGCCAGATGTATTACTATTGATTTTGGTTTCCCCCGAATTATTATCACCTATCATTCAATCAAAATATGCATATTAAATGCCACACTGGCCAAAAATACCCATAATAGATGTGATTGCGGATTATTGATGACATTTCACCGTAAACCAACGACAGATTATAATTCCGGCTTCAATTTCCTGCTTTCCAAACCAATCCGAAATCAGAAGTCATAAACCTGGAAGTTGCTGGTATAAACCGTCTTGGAAATCATGACGCTGCTGACCCGGTCAGCAATTAAAGAAGCCGGCGGCGTTTTATCGCGGTAGCGCTTAGTTTGGAGCAACTTATGTAATAAACCCGAGGAAGACCAAATCGTACATACCGGTTGGCAATACCACAAAGCGAGAAGAGCCTGCTGAGTCTGCACTTGCAGAGAGTCATGCATACTACAACAAGTAGTTACATAAAAAGAATGAACACGCCTGCTGGGTCAGGGGCCTACTTTTCGTGCTTGGCCGGCGTCGAGTTCAGCGGCGAGTCGTGATTCAAGGTGAAATTGGATATCAGGTGCTTTTATTGGTTATTGTCAAGTCTTAAACGTCTCCAGCGTCTTAGGCTCTAAACAAGTGCTATAAAATTCAGCCGCGCATAAAATAAAATTTTATGTTATATATTAAACTCTGAAAAAATCGTCCAGAATGACCCGTGAAGAAAATAAATTAAAATTTAAATTGAATTGATTAGTTCTTAATTTTCCCGTTGTGGCAGTAGTTTCGCCTAGTCCTTAACCTAACTTTCGATCTATTGTACGCATAGATTAAAAAGATAAGATTAGATAAATGCAAAAAGTTCTTTGTCTTTTCAAGTTTGATACGATTTCAACACAAAGTTGCACAATTCCATTCGTGATGTTGTTTTCTGTATCTCGGTTTATTAGTGTTTGTTTACAATTACAAAATTCATTAAATTTCGTTTTCGTTTTGTCTGTAAGTACCTACCTGCATACCGACTTTACTCTTACGTTTAATTGTGCTGTGTAATTCTAAATCCAAGTCAAGGATACACTTGAACATGCATTGTTCTTTCAATTGTTTGTTACTCTGCAACCTCTTACTGAATAGGATTTTCGGTGATTAAGTTAAGTTAAACTGTGTGCAATAGACAAGATTGTTTAATCCAACAAGCAAATCGAAGCCATTAATTAATTCTAAAACACTAAATCGGCTATTAATTAGACAAAAAGCCTTCGGGAATGGTTTTTTTTTGTCAACAAAAGAAAAAAATACTTCCTGATTTATGTTAGTTTCAATTAATTTCACTCTCATTCTCACATATTCTCGTATTCTTATTGTTCAATGACCTTGCAATGCCATAAATATTAATTCAGTGCGAATATGAACAATTCAACAAATAAAATAATTCTATATTCATTTATAGCTACGTGTTTGTATGTAAAATACGAAGAAGAAAAAATGATTTGCCTCCGTCTGACAGACGTAAAAAAATAAAACAATGCTCGATTATGCAAGTAATGCGAGTCGTTAGCGCGTTTAGAAATAGAAGAAATAACCGGAAGAACTTAAACGCCGCCGCGTTTCGATTTCCTTATTATTTTATGCGTGACATAACGGTAAATACCGCGCGTTTTCATTAAGCGCTTAATTATAGTCGATTGTTCCCGTGCAGACTGCTTAAATATTTAATAACAACTGAAATAACTGCAAAAAATGTTTATTTACAAATAAAAATAAAATTCCCACACAAAATCACCATGCATGTGGGTACATTAGTATTAATGAAACAAACCGGTACGGTGCACCATTCATAATTAGCGTACAGTTATGAACTTGCAGATATTATCCAGCTTTCCTGCCGGCTCACACAGCACGATATTAATTTTCGCTAGTCGCGACGCTATTACATTTGCACGCATTTGTATTCACATGTGAGAAGCCGCAATAAACGAAAATTACTAAATTACAGAATTTTATTGGCGTGTTTTTATAGGTTGACAAAATGGTACGCAGGTCGAGGTCAATATTCAAGAATCTCTAGACTCCAAAGGTGAGTCAATCCACCAAACAGGGAGACCTTATAAGGATCCCACCATATTCATCCAACAATAATTTTTTGTCTTCTTGAATTTGTATTTTGTATACCTACTTTCGTTTTTATTGACTCCAGAAACAAGACTTGAAGGCTAAATATATAATAACCTTTCCACGCATGCGTATTTTATTTGTGGGCGGAGCTAATAGTGAGAATTTTTGTTTTTTTAGCAGTTTTTTAACCCTAACTCTACGGAAACAATATATGAACGTACGAATATGTTAGGGAAAGAGAAAATCCGTGCAGGATGAATATCAACTTGAGGATGCACTCCCGCAATCCTTGCCTGGTCGTTCACGGTTATCATCTCAATGTATCAATCTACTTAAGCGCTTAGGGACTTCCGCTTGCGGAACAAAGCCTGCAGCCCTATCTTGAATATATTGAAGTGATGATGCAGTGAAGCATACTTGTGGTATAGTGGATATAACTTAAGATAAAAAGGGTAAAAGATAGCAGAAATGTTTTTACAAAAACTTGTCTGGTGTAGATATATACTCAGTATTAAAATATTTGGTTACATATCATTAATTTTCATCTCATCGCAAATCAATAAAATTTGTGTTTTTGTTCCCAAATGTATAATTCGCACGGTCATTAAACAGTCTGCTATAATCAATGCGTAGACAACCAATAAGTCTATGAAACTGTAATCTAATGTCGCCCCGACGTCCACATAGTTCTCAATAGTAGAATGAAACCAACCCGAATATAGAAATTTTTTGTTCGTCTCGCCAGCAGTCGAAAAACATACAAAAACTTACACCGAAAAAAATCAGGACTCGACATGCAAGTTTTACGATTATCCCTCGTCGTAGAGGTAACCGTATCCCAAAGATAAAATTTCGATGCAGCGTAATATTCAGCTCGAAACTTGGGCTGTAAAATGTGAAATGTGAAACAGGTCATGAAAAAAGGCGCTAAATTGAGCATGAAAATCGATTGGGCAATGACGGCAATATGCAAATGCGAAAGTAATTGCACTTGAGTTTGAGTTTTGTGAAATCTTTACTAAGTTAGGAAGAGAAACAGTTGAATCACAACGAAACAAAACAACATTACCGAAGTGAAACAAAGCGATGCAGAAAAACATCTAATGCTGATTATATTCGCTCAAGACTATATTGCAATCATCATTTAATTTCACTTTCTAAAGTTAGTAGACCTACTCGTATAAAAGATTAAAATACAGGGTGCGACAATTTTTAAAGTCAACAAAACTGAGTTTTATTAAATTTTTGTATCTTCCTGTACTTTAAGCTATCTTTCAGCTCTGATTGCAAAAGTGCACGAGGATAAGCAGCTAATTAAAGTTTAAACAATACAAGACAAGACGATAAATGTCACTGTAAGCAAAGAAATACAAAATGCCAAACCTTAAAGTCTAAATAAAAAGAACAATAGACTTCAAATTTGTCACAAAGTGCATTCTACTTATCTGAAATTGTTTCCTAAATAACGATATTGCTTGTTTTAAAACAAAGCAACAGATATAAGTATAAATATTTATCTAAAAAAGTTCCTCCCAAGTTGAAACCTGTTCGTGTCAAACAAGAAAAGAATGTTCATTGTTAAGTCCGGCTCATCAAAGAGTGCTACACTTAGATAGCAGATCAAAATTAGATAAGGCAAACAAAACATAGTTTAACTTAACGTTTAGCTCGTGGTTGACATGTTAATATCACACTCTGATGTGGTTTGCTGCACTTTAAGTTGCAACACGCCTACAATTGTTGTTTTAACTAGATTTTTTTCACATTTTATATTCGTGCTTGGTTGACGTGCAGAAACCAATTAATCTCGCTTGTTAACACCACGCGGTTTGAATTGTTGATGTTTAGTGTTCGGAGAAGGCGACAAATGCGACAAATGTTTAATTTTAGGTTCGAAGAGAGACAAATCACTACCTACGCATGTTATAAATTCCGGTGTCACTAAACGTACGTTAATATTTCAACCACTTCGTTTCTTTCGTTTGAGACTGATATTTTTGAATTGTCTTCATTAGTTCAGAATATACCAGAACACCTGAGATGTTATTTTGCTTAAAGTTTACTTAATACAAAGACTTTGTAAGTTGAGTTCTTATTTCACGCTTCTACACTTTTAAAACGCAGCTCGTTTTCTTATTATCGTCATTATTTCAACTTGACTCACGGATGTGATACGCGACCGTGTCTAAAATATTGCACAAACTTCTAAAACGTCAATTTCAACATTGTGTAAGGAAAAAACAGAAATATTTTAGCATAAATTTGATTAAATTCCCAAACAACGCGCTTAAATATATGCAACTTTTTGTACGCATTTAATTTAAGAGCTTAGTTAACCCACTTGGATACATCCGATCACATTCAGGGGATTACCAACCACAAAACATTTCCAGCAGGACGTAAACCCTTCAACCACGTATCAACCCTCCTCTTGAAAACATTCGAATATCTGTTTGTAATTGCCCCCAGTGCAAGAACTCCTCATAGGGCTTAGGTCCAGTCACTGGACTCGTTATGAGACGAGCGTATCTATCTACATATTACGAAAGCTTTTAGAGTACCCGCGCAGAAAAAGGGGTTGCACACTGCGCCCTGCGCGCGAGTGCTTAATGCAGTCTTGTTATTCCAGGTGCTTCCAGCAGCTCCCTCCGGCTGCCGTTGACGCCGGCATCCGTTACATAATGAAATGGATTAATATTATTTTAAAGTGAGTAGACGGAAGGAAGGGCGTCGCACGTTTTCATATTCTACCCTTGTGGAAATATCGGAGGTGGTAGTGGTACCTAGTTGCAAATTGAATAGAACTCAAGCGTGCAGGATTAAAAGCTGTGAGCAATTTGCACTTGAATGTGCATTCAATCGTTCAACGTGATATCAATTTTAAAAATTCAATTTTAAGGGTTTTAATATGTATTTTTTGGTTGGGTTGCAAAAAGGTTAAATATTCAGGGAATTGTAGTTTGGCTTTTTGGCAAGGTGGTTGGCCTGTAGACGTAATGGACGCCTGAATTAATAATTTGACATGAATCGGAAAATGCACTTTGCAAACAGTCATCGCCCTCGATTTGGGATGGCATTCTGAAGGCAATGTTCGCAAATGGCATTTTCAGCGACAAAATCAGCACATCTATTATAGAAAACCATCACGGTTCAACTGAGAGGTTATTTGAGGTTATATTACTAAGTAAATCACTAAAATACTTTCCAAAGCCAATTAAAATGCAACTTTTGCTTGTTTTACACCTAATTTAAAAGTAGCGAAACAAAAAAGATTTTCTAAATTTTAAACACAATGCAAGTCCAAATACTGAATTGTGTAATTGTAATCCGGCTCATCCGGTACATGTCCGCGAGTGGACCATCCGTAAACCCGCCATTTCCAAATCTATTATGTACCCGTGACAAAATGAAAAATGTATTCACGATGCGAACGAAGCCAATTGAATAAATAATCAATGGACTTCCTATACACATCCCGCCTGGCAGGCAGCATGTGGAAATAAGAAATTTCAGCAGATCGAGAGCATATTGGCACATCCATTTGTTCCACGCTAATTTCCACACTGGGGATTAGCCACACATCAGACGGAAGCACAATGGCGTGGCACACTGATTGCATTCATAATTCAAATCTGCCGGAATAGAAAACTTGTAACCATCACTCCTCACTCAAGAATTAACGAAATAAATATAATAAAATAATAAAATTCTATTCAAAGATTTGTTAAATAAATACTTAAAATAAATACTTTTCGAATGCATCTTGATTAGAATGCTCGCAGCAGGTAGACAGGTCTAAAAGCCACAAAAGTGTTACGAGTAATTACCTGCGGGCGTTATTTAAAAAAAACTATGTGGCAATCCTAACGGCTTCTATAATATCCAACGAGACTCTTCGGATCGTATACAAACAAAATGTCGTTAGACACACACTGGAATTCAATTTTTTATTTAATCTCAACAGGTTCAAATCCCGTTTGCGACTAACCTTTAGTATTACTCAGTCAAATTAATGAATTAATCAATTTTTATCACATTTCCGTAAGTGTTACGAAATTCTATCACTGATTTTGGTATAATTTTCGAATTTATTTATTATTACGAAACGCAGGTGAGATATAAAAATGAAACGTGTATGTTAATAAAGTAATTCATTTACGTATTTATGGGAATGTAAAATATCTATCAACACGCGTTGATTTGGAAGATTTGGATGATTCGGATGGTGTTCTTGCAGCTCGCGCGCTGCTCATGGTGTGCTCAGCAAACCGCGAACACGCATTTCGCATTTAGCGTTCGCCTAACGACCGTGACTAAACTCGACGACTAACTAAACCACTCTTGAGGCAATAATCCGACCGACCTTCGCACCGCGTATGTAATGCATTACAGGCACTGCAGGTTGGTCGCTATAGAATGTGTGGAAGATGAAAAACGCGCAGATGAACTCGAAACGCAACCACTCACATCATCTGCAACCGCACGCACTCGGAAGAGATGGGACATGAGCGCATTCTAATTTGATGTGGAGTTAAACTTGATCTTGAAAAGGGGAATTTAACACCAAGATGTAAATAACTTTTAAAGTCTTAGGCGTAATTATTTCATTATATATTTACAAAACATAGCGTGTAATGAAAATATTTATCTTTAATTTTTGTGCATTTGTAATAAATGGCCGAAAATTAGTGGAAACAGAAGAAACGCAAGGATATGGGAGGTAACTAGTCGGAACGTTCGCCATTTCATGAAATGCGTGCAATAACGACGAAGGAAATACCTCGGCTACTGTTATAATCATATAATCGTGCTGAAATCGTTGCTGGAATTGCCGTGAGCACAAAAGAAGAAAAGTATGCAGACAAATAATGGGTCAGAACATGAATTGTAATCATAACTCTATGAACTACAAGCTGTTCCAACAAAACTCGTACTCACTCAGCTGAATTAACTGAAAATGAAATGAAATGCTTTTTTAATATCATTCAAATTTGCTGCGCAACGATTTGCTGCAAATTGAGATGACTTGAAACATTTTTGCACTACTTTCTGCATCAGCTGTCCAACGACGTCAAACGTTATCGAGAAAATTCTTTTTCCTTTTTTTCTTTTTTTTTTCTTGAATTTCTCCGTTATTTTACTCATAGTTATGCTGTGATTTGGAGCAGAAATAAATGCAAAAAATCAAAGATCATATCATTTGTTTACTTATAAATAGCGTAACACCATCTTTTTTTGTTTTTTTTTATAGAAAAAATATTAAATCAAATAATGACATATTTCAATGCACTTCATGTGAATTACTTGTCAAATTATCATCTTGTTCAAATTCATCGTGTTCATTCCTCATCATTTCATTCATCATCAAAAAGAATGCCATTTCCACAGCCACCCACGTTCAAACCACCCTTACTGGAACCTTTCTTTCAACCCTATTACACACGTCACTTTCAACCACGTCCAGTGCAAAGATCTCCACCACGGCTACCAAGACCACAACGGACGGCAAACGTAGTTGTTCAAACGAAAAAGCAACCGCTCCTTGTACGCGGAACGAAACGAACAGCTCAAAAAGAACGCATTGATCAACAACGAACCGAACCATCCACAAGTCGAAAGACAACAAGTGATCCACGCAAACCTCCACCTCTTAGAAATAATAAAAACCACTGCATAAATCGACGAGAGACTCCTGATGCACCTGCAGTACCAATTCGTAATAGCAAAATGGCTGAAACTCGAAAAACAATCGAAGAAGCCAATAGACTATTAAAGGATTCAAAGTATATTGATTATGATTTACATCCGGAGTTGAAACTGAAAGTTTCATATAAAATGTTTTAAATCAAATTATCATTATGATTAAAAATGCATTAATTGCAGTCATTTTTCACCCTCGAGAAAAACGTTTTTTCTCTTTTTAAGCGTGAGTTTTTGATGTATAAGCCGAACGCAGGTAATTGTAACCGGTATAAATTACATGAGCATGAGGGCATCGGACATCCGCTGCGTGGACGTCGAGGGGTCGGGAGATCCTTTGAATAAGGGACAGGACAGGAAACACGCTTCTGCGCTTTCATCGACCCTGGCATACTCAGACTACGCAAACTTAAGTCGACACTTAATCATATTTACTTTTACTTTTTATTATTTTATTGATTGGAACTGATTCATCAGTTTATGTTGATATTAATGTTGATACGATATTGGTAGGTATTTATGTGATATGAACAGGGCCGTCGAGAGCCAGCGCGGGCCCCGGCAATCGTTAATTTTTTGCTATTTTTTTTGTATTTGCGATTTAAGAACGATCAGCCGCCCCCCTCTCATCGGCCCAGCAGGTAGGTAGAACGTGATAAATATGTCAAATGTAAATTTGACCGAAAAATATAATTGAATTATAAACTTACCAGTGTACAGCTTATCGGACTGCCAGGCACGAGTGTTGTAACTAAACGAAAGCATAAATTAATACAAACATATTTCATACAATTGAATTACGAGTATGTTATAATTAACAATCAACACAAAATAAGCAATCTGTGTTGTTTAGTTAAAATATTCTTACACGAGCCTGATGGATCTTTCTTAATGATAAGTATCAACATGGGGACGATATATATCCAATTAATTTAGTAGCCGAAACCAAACACAACGCCGAGTGAAGAATGTTATCGAATCCACTATCACGTGATTTGTAATATACATAACAAACGCGATCAAAAATCGGCATTTCCGAACATTAAACAAATTATTGCAGTCGCAAAGTACAAATAAATAGTCGATTGATCTTCGAGTACCTACAACACAAATTTAGAATATTGAATTCCGAATACACGATATAAGTCACTTCAAACACGACTGGATTAACCAGCGACCGGCACGAACTGACTGCAAACCACCGATAGTGCATGCCGAAACTGCGTAAACAACGACGGAACAGTATATGATAAGAAAGCAAGAGGTGCGCAAAGACGGCGCGTCGAAGGCACGCGATCTTGTACGTGAATTTGCTATAGGCACATTACCTGTAATCTAAACTAAATTAGACTGTTGATGCGGCGCTAGGAGACAGCGCGCGGGACACATGCGTTAAAAACGTTGTTTACACCGAATCGCAGATAACAGCATTGTATACAAAACTATTCTAGTGTCCACGTTTGTCGATAAATATAAAAATAAGCCGTATAACTCGATTTAATGATTTTTAGTGCATCCAAGTGCCATCTAAGAATGCGATAGATACTAGTTCCACAATTTACACTATCATTATCAATAATAAATGTTCCCACGTGTTTCCATTTTTGTATGCAGTACATATTGACAATTAACATGTAGAGCGTCTCTTAAACTATTACATGACCTTTAGAAACTAACAAAATGCGTATTAGTTGCTTGGTGATATCTACTGAACTAAAAGAGATAGCAACCTGAAAATTGTAGATTATGGAAGATTGAGAACTTAATTAGATCAAAATTTAAAATAATTTAAAATAATGAGATAAGAAGTCAAAAAATGCGACGGAAACTGCTAAAAAAATTATTTTTAATTTTAATTCCTTAGAAAAAATTGCCAAGTGGTGTGCTTGTGGGGTGCTTGATAATGTTTATCGACGATTTTCGATAGTTAATATCACTTAAACTAAAAGACATATCAACCAACGAATTGCTGATTATAAAAGATTAGAAAATTCTCTATCAGATAAAAATATAAAATAATCATATTTCCAATAGTAAACGGTCAAAAAACGCGACTAAAAGTACTAAAAACTGATATTTTCCAATGTTTGCCCATTTTTTTCAATCGCGAATATCTCGTAAACTAAAAGAGATAAATACAATCTGATTACAGCGTCTTAATCTACGAACTATTCTCTATAAAATAGCCGATCAGCCGGTCCCCGGGGAATTTACCCCGATTGACCTCCCTCCCCACTCTCATCGGACCTGGATTTGAATATTAATAAAAACAAATCATATGTGTTTACCGTAAGTGGTTATGAGTAATATTCTGCTTCCCGCATTGTGAGCAATACATTGCACATTGTACAAGATTGTTGAAAATTAACGTGTTAAGAGTATAAGAGAAATTAATTATCAGGTATTTAGTCCTAGTGTACTACATTCTGCACTCTATAAACTCATGAATAAATTATTGGATAAATGAATTTGTGTTGGTGTTAATTTTATAAAAATAAATTGATTTATTGCATTGCAATGTAATTAACTATTATTTAGTCATCGATAAACTCGCGTTCGATTAATATGCATTGTTGTTTTTAACTGTAAATGTATGTAAAATATACGTCTACAAAAGTTTTAATTGGAGTGAAAAGCAAACACTCGAAAAAGTTTAATTTGAGCATTCTATTCTTTCCACTTCGGATTCCACCAATTATAAACACATCAAACAAACAACGCTGCAGATAATTGTCTCTATAAGATTTTGGCAACGCGCCTAATGTGCTCGGCAATAAATTCAAAGCGCAACTAATTCCCTAATCTAAAAACCTGCCTCCTACGACTTTACTATATTTTGCAGTTACATCGTAAAATACAGTTTCCATCCGTAGTGCAAGCAAAGTGCAGAAAACACTGTTTGTCGCCGCCGCGGTATTCTATTAGCCGCGCTCCATCTTTTCGCCATCATCAACTTGGCGTGATTTTTCGCAGAAAGCCATAATAAATCGTATTTTATGCTTTCGCTGTTTCAGAGTTTGCTGTTTGCCGTTTTAAGTTACTAGCCTTTCCTTTTCATCGTATTTTTACAAACATAACACACAAATAAATAACAGACAATGAAAACATTAAAGAGATAAAAATTTTGAAGAAAATCCAAACAATAAACACAAACGGCAATAATCGACGACGACAATTCATAAAACAAAGCAAACCGAGAATCATTTCTCTTGTATATAGAGAGCGCGAAAAATGCTGGCGAAAAGTCGCACGAACTTTCACTCGAAATAAAAAGCACACAGCGCAAATTGTGACTTTATTCCTCAATGTATAAACTCGAAGTCGTCGTGCATAAAAACGGAATAATTATACAAGTGGAATGAATGGCAGCATGAATTCCTTTTTCCTTAGCCGTAAACTTTATTTTGCGGTTTGTTGTCTTCTGGTAGATGGTGGCTGTCACGGAGCGTTTAAAAAGTGTTTAAACCGCCGAATGGAAAAGCTGTTAGCCGATTTAAGACTTGGGTAATTACTCGCGACTCTTTGTCATATTTCGGATTGTAAATTCATTTCGCTTAACAGAGAGTGAGTAAATGTGATTTTCTAGAGATGCCAGATTTGGGCCACAGAAGGCGATTGTTAAATGATTTTCAGTGTGGAAACATTTAATGTGAACACGGTTAAACAATTACGGTGAATGGAAGAAAGTTTGCACAATTTTGTCAAAATATTAATGAAAATACAACAACAAAATAAAAAATTTAAAAATATTGTGACGTAAATAAGTTATTTTCAAATTGCACATAGAAATTCCTATATAAACTTTTATCCCAGATTTTATCCCTTTATAAAGAATTATTTTTACAAAAAAGTAGCCCATATTATTTTCCAGGGTTTAATCTATCTCTATACCCAAAATAATCAAAATTGATTAAAGGGATTTGGCGTGAAAAGTGAACAAACATACAAAATTAGTGTTTAATATTGCTATAGCTCTAGTAATCTTAACATTTTTTTTACTTTTTACTGTTACTTATAGGGCTTCACGCGATACCGAGACGAGACGTGTTTTATCAATTTCTCGGCGATACCGATACCACAGTCCGAGTCTCGTTTTTGGTCTCGTTATTGGTTTCGTTACTTTTTTTTATGAAGTTGTTATTAGAAAAATGGGAAAAGGTCCAATATATGAAATCCAATATATGACCATCTGTGAAATATTTCTTTTGTATATTCAAAATAACAAGTCAGTAACCGAATATCATGACCTTTTTGACTTTTTGAAAGTTTTATGAAAATTAAATAACTTATTTAAGACCCTATATAAATGATCTCTTAGTTGGATCGCCGCGCAAATTTAATCCGCAGCTATTTTCAACTAAATTAACCCCTTAGCCAGATAAATTGCGAAGGCGGGTGCGTGCAGCATGCGCCGAAAACAATGGCATCCCACCGAGAACGCTCATCCAATACACACACCATCCACACTAAATCAAAGTCAACGAAGAAATAGTTTCACCCCACACCCTCCAACAAGCAGAGCTTTTCACTTTCACGCACGTTACAGTCGCCGCCTCATCCACTTCTTGCCGCCGTCTGTGCGTTGCTCGCAATGCGTGTACACCGCTCGACTCGCAACATATCTCAAAGTTATTAGACCGCGAACGTGCAGAGATGTGAATGTGTGCGGCGCAAGAGGGTTGTTCGGCGGCGGATGCAAGCGAGTTACGGCTCCTCCAGCGGCACTACTAACATATTATTATACTTGATGCGGTGGCAAAGAACAAAGTACATTCAGGAATACAAAAGGCATAAAAAGTAATTGCCCTATGTTACTATGTTCATCATAAAACAAAAGAAATTATGTTGGACGTTGTGTGAGGTTTGGAATAAGTACTCGCATAAAATTCCAGGCAAAGTGAAGTGAAATGAAGTTTTTTCTTTAAACAAATGAATAAATGAACCAACAAATGTCCTTCCGATGAAATCCGCCAATTTCACGCGCGTATCTAAATTGCTTCCTGCGCTGTAGTTGTAATTTACTATCATCGATTACGCGATGCACAAAGTGCTCCCAAAGCCGGAGAGAGAAAATTTAGAGGTTAGGAATTTATCGCGCATTATCGGTGAAGGTTTAATAGCCTTGAGAGAACAACGCAAGGCAAAAACGACACAAATTGAGTAAGTGTTTCTAAAAGAATCGAGTTAAGTAAGTTGAAATCAAATAATTCCATCGTAAATTTTGTAGTTTTTGAGTTTTAAACTTCCGAAAGCACTATAATACCTCAAAAAACGTAGCTTAATGCAGCTGGTAACTACGTGCGATAATTTAACTGTCTACAAAGACTCGAGTCTAGACTGGCGTCAGAAACGAGTCATAAGTGCGATTACACTCGAAAGTTCGCAATTCTAAAGCCGTAAACCAAGCCTTCGACGTTAGGTATGGATAGAAAATCAATTTCCAGTTAGTCCTGCACGACTAAAACCTAAAACCCTTCGACAGACGTAGGTAACTCTTCAATTCGCCATTTCATCACTGGCAGGTCATAAAACACACGCAATTATACTAGTAGTGTCATAGTCATTCAGACACTTCCACATCACGGAATGCATACTGTAAGCTTTTAATTAAATTAGAAACCTCTATAAGGTTGACACGTCGATATTATTCCGCTCGCCATTTCGCAGTGCGAAGAATGCGATGTCAATGAACCACGACGATGTAAAGACAAATGAATATTAACTATTAGGCATGTAATAACAGTCGTATGTATTGAAAGTTGTAAGTAGTCGTAATCATTAAAGAGTATACACGCGAAAATTCAATTACTAGGTAATTTTACTTGTTAGAAATTGTGGAAGAAGTTGCGCAGAAGTTTCTGGTTCCGAAATTTATGCCGTAATGTCATAAAGTCGTGACCGCGACATCACAATTGTTAAACTTGTTGTATTATAAAGATATAGTAATGATATTAGCATATGTTTAATTAATAATCATTAGTATAATAGGAATTGCAATGCTGTAATACTTAAAAGTTGAAGTATTCAATTTAAAATGTTGCGTTTAATTTTAAATTTAAAAATGTATTATCTGAGCCTTAAATTAAGAAATTCTATTGAAAATATTAACAAAAATGTTATTTTGATTAAATTGCATATTTTTGTACTATTACATAATTAAATATTAAATCATTTATTGAAATTTGTTAAGAAAACATGAATTGTAAAATTATGATGGTCGAAATTTGGCCTCATTTTATACTTATGTAAATATTTATGTTTTGTATTGACAATAATTGAATGCTAAAATATTTTACACAACATTTGAATCGATCATTTACTCATTATTATTATTACTATTTAAATTCCTAAAATTTCTATTTTCAATTAACATTCGCTTTTATAATAACAAGTTTTTTCCTTTTCTTGGTAAACAAGAAAAGTAACTTTCTGGTAAGTGAAAATTTCTTCTCGAAAACCTTTCACCGCAGTGCAGATCGTGTGAAAAATTCTCTTTAATTTCTCATTTAATTATCAATTGTCCGCAGCCAATTAGATGCATTAGCAACCTGTTCGCGACTTCACAAATCAAGTGCGCCATCTTTCACCTGACCTACAGAAGCATCTCACAATTTCCATGCGATCTTAAAATTCTCCAATTTCAACCAAAACGAAACGAAAATTAAAATCGCATGTGAAAATCTCCTATCTTTCGTGATTTACTGTTTGCTGAAGATCTGACTAAGATCAGAAGTAAAGTCTAGAAAAGTAAAGAAATCAATTGTGTGTGAACTTTTCAGATTTCGTCTCAGACAGAGTTAATTAACCGCTATCGCTAGTATTTATTTTTCATTGCAATTATGAGAGAATGAATAAGAGTAAAAGTAACAAAACTGAGTGAAAATACAGCGTAGAAATTTCTTTGTAAATATTGTAAATTAATGATTTATGCATTAGTCTGTCTTTCATATTTCATACGCGCATTCTTCAGTTGACCTTAATATGCAAAATCAACAACAATGTTAGGTTAAAAATATGTTGAGATCGTTAAAAAACTGATTTTACACGATGATAACGTTAAGATACACCTGTTTTATTTACAATAGAAAAAAAAAAACACTTGTTATACTTTCAAATTTAATTAAATTTCAGACTATTCAATAAAACAATCATTAATAACAAGTTACGGATGTGTAACTGGAATTTTCAAATAATGAGATCATTATTCACAAATTTACTAATACATCAATTATTTATATGAATAAAATTTTGAATTCAGTATTGATAAAATGACTTTTGATATTTCTGTTTTCGACTGCTGTTATTTCACAAGAATTCATAAAATCAGATAAAAGCTTTGCGCTGTGAGTCGCAGGGCATGTGCCAGCCATATTTTTCGGGTGTACACGTTGAGTGAGTCATTTAATTACTAATTGTTTGTATGTATTACTGTGGAAGAACGCGCCGCCGTGAATTTACAACGCGTTCGCAGGTTGCCGGCGATAAAGCAGAACCGCTGCCAACAGAAGCATGACGCTTTTTGTTTTTGTTTTATATTTCGCCGCATATGTTATGATTTTTTACTGTTTTCGCCTAGTCCGGACATAAAACAAACGAAAAATCTTTTCAGAAAATTATCCTAAAAAGCGCTAATTTAGTAAATTAAAATTTGAAACAATATTATTAAAACAAATTATTTTTTAAATCTTAATTAGTGAATGATTTTGTTCTAAACTTTAAACCATTTTTAAAGGTGCAAATTATAAGTAAATTTGAATAAGAACAGGTTAATCAACTTGATGTATGAATACTAATAATAACATGGGAATAAACATTGGCAACCTTGAACTGTCTGCATTTTAAACAAAAATACTGGTAATGAACGAAAATTGCTACAATTTCAAGTCAGCTGGAATGTCTTTGTTTCGAGAGCGAGCTGGTGGAATGGACAAACATTAAAAATAGACTTTTAGTGCACCAACTACAAGTACGTGTACTTGTACCTATCCCAAGTACTTGGAAAACACTTCAAATCTATTCTAGGAATTTTATCACTCCGAAGAGAATGAGCTTTGGATAATGTTTATTTGTAACTGACTACAACTTGACTAAGATAATTATTTAAATTGAACATTCCGTAGTAAATCAAGTCAATTCCAACTTTACAACTTAAAAAATAAAAGCTTAATACAAAAAATACAATAAAATATTTTTTTTGCATTATCAAAATACAATTTACGTAAAATCATGAGAATTTACCAGTATCGTAGTAATATAGTAAAATATTATCGACATTTGGTTTTATTAAACAAAAATCACGACGTATTATGTCGATACTAATCTACGAATTAATGTTGCAGAAAACGAACGATAAGAGAAACAATACAAATGCGCACGATATGATGCAGTACATAAGCTTGTGTTGAGATTTACGTCGGCAAACACGGCTACATAAATAATAACTTGCACTACGCTTGCATTAAAATTCGCTATGCGCTGCAATAATAAAAGCCTCACCACCAACCGACTTTGTTCCACTGAACTAGCCTACGTCGTTTCTATAAGTGATTAATCAGGCAACAAAATTTAATAACACAGTATAATAATAAAAAGTGCTTGCATAGTAAAGTTTATATAAATAAAAACAAAATGCAGTGCAATTTTAAAACTAATCCAATAAAATAAATCACTATTTAATAAATATATTCAAACTAGAGGTTTATATGTTTTTCATGCATAAACCGTATAATAAATACCTAATTATACGAATCAGAACGAATAGTATTGAACTCAACTGCATAACGTCTGCTATTGACATTGAAATTGATACACGTCACAATGATTACGTGCGGCAATAGAAAGGTTGAATGTTTTATTTTTCTATTTGGTTTGAATGATGGGCGATTACGTGGGTAATGTCTAATTCAAGAACAAAATCGAATATTTACAGCCAACAAAATCGATCCACATTAATTTAGCATCTAGTTTTATTGCCCGAAGCATTTTAAACATTTATAATCATAAAGTATGCTCTTAAACAGAAGTATAATTTGTTCCTTTTGGAAACAGTAAAAAATAATTGTTTTTAATTTAAAAACACATATAATTAAACAAATCGTTGATTTCCTTTATTGATTTAACACCGATATTTTCAGCCCTAGGGCTGTTGAGGTTATTACGACGTGTTGAAATGTAATAATTTATTTGCAACGTTAATATTTGATATTTATTTAAATGTGATCTTGAAAATACCTATATTCTACACACTTTGTGTATTTGTCGAATTTAATATGTCTTATCAGTAGATTTGGCAATGACAAAAATGCAAATAAGCATGGGAACTGTTTCCTTGCTTTTAATATAGTAAATATTCACATAACATTCCCAAATAAAATGATATCACTTATCACACGACCCATTTCGCCCTAAAAGTTTCGCAGTAACACCACAGAACAAAGAATTGATAGCGCCGATCGAAATTTTCGAATTACATCTATATACCAACCTTAATATTCTGTTGTAATTTCCCCAGCGAACGATTTGCTTCCGGAAACTTCTTTTCGCACAGAAAATAATCCTCGATGGTGGTAAGAAAACGCAACTTTTATAAACCAAAACTTAAAATAAAAATTCCAAGTTTTAAACTTAAAAGATTAGGAAACTTGAGTGCAAATCGAAGATGCACGTAAATTTATCCGTCTGACGACCACAACAAACAGGTGTACGCACTCTTGAAGGAACCGGCTTTTCCTTTCGTTTCTTCAACGACTGGGTTTGTTTCGTCGAGTGGTTGTCGTTAAAAGTTATGCGCGCACTTCCTGATCCACCACGAGAATCTCCAAACAAACGCAGGTAGATGGATTTAAATTTTAACGGACGTTGTTAATTGTTATTACTGTTATTATCAGTTAATGCACGATTGTGATGGCAATGCGTTTTGTCAATTTGGAATACCTAGAGTATGTAAATGCGAATCGGCGTGTTTGCAAGCACCAAACACCGGCGGACACTCGAATGCGGCGCGCACGACGCAAGAGACAAAGGTAAACTGAGGATACTGAGTGCTTACAACGAGCGCGCACGGCGACCGACGATCAACTAGACGCGCCAGACGCGGCCACCAAACGCATGCGAGTAGACTGCACGAATGCCGCGCGCGTCGCGCAGACGAAGAGCGAATGACGACATTATACTACCCTGTGGGTAAGGGTTAATATAGTTATTACACTAACAAATAAAACAAAAAAACTAAGTTTTTAACTCGTTAAAACTTAAAATTACATTTGCGATGTTGACATCTGTCAGTTGTCATTATTTTTACTCACTGCGCATGCGCACTGTGAACTTTTCACAAACCAAACTTTTCTTTTGACATACGCACTTGGTATTCACGGATAAGATGTCCCCCATATGCTCGCAATCTACTCACTCGCATGCGTGCAAGACACCGAAACCATGTGCGATGTGCGTGCACCAACCGGCGAATGCACCGGCCGTTTTTTAAAAAACCTGTTCGGTGGTTTCACTACTACCTCTCCGCGGCTTTTACCGGACACTGGTCTTGTTTACGTGCTTCAACGTGTTTCTAATGTCGCAAACTGCGTTTGCCTTTCGCATTAGCACGCTAACCCCAACCCCAACCCTAACCACCAAAAATATCCCCCTGGGCGGATAACACCTATTCTTATGAATGTGTATGATTGGATTGCGAGTACGATTTGTAATGCGTTGGCATTTCTATGTTTTTTATCGAAACTCGTTACAGGGTTATGGCCATGCGTGCCGGCTGATAACGTCGTGCACGTCGTGTGTGTGGAATAACAAGGGGTGCATTTATTTATTACCTTTGCAGGGGTCGTCAAGGGTAACTTTTCGACACACCGTGCAGGCAATCATGACCCACCGTCTATCATGCCTTCGATTTGGGGTTACTGACGTTTTTGCATTATATTCTATACGAATTACGAATCCGCATGAAATATAGATTTTTTTGTTATCTCTTGTATTCGACAAAGCGTTTTAAACGGATAATTGAAGGTAAAAAGGTAAAAAATTGTAAGTACTCACTTGTTTTTGAAGTTTCACAATCACTTTTAGGCATTGTTGACCACAAAATATAATTTGCAATTCTAGAATAATAATCACTAACGTTTTTCTAACGGTTTTACTACACAAATATTCAACAAGCGACGCTAATGCTGTCAAAAAGGAAAAAAAGCGACTACAACGCCACCAGTGACAGTATTTGGTACACAATAGTTGATTGTTTGCGAATTTCAACGCAGTTACAAGAATATGTTGATAAAGTTTAGTTGAGTGGTGTCGTGTTACACATATTGTTTTATTTTATTGTATTTCGATTTCATTTATCAAAAATACACAGCCATTATTAATGTACAAATTTGCAGATTGATATTGTTATTTAAATAATAAATAAATTAAAATTTATTGTAAAAACCTACACACTAACTATAAATAATCAAGTAAGTTTTAGTTGTATTGTTTTACCAACGCAGTAAATGTTAAAAACACCACAAATTGCAAATATTTGCTTAAAAATACTCGCAAGTAAAACAAACACAACTAAATGAGATTGAATACTACACAAACATTTAAAATAATTGCATATTTACTCTATATAATAATATATTAATAATAAAGTTTATTATTATCTATCAGCTGTGAATCTATTTATTTACAGTACAACTTTGCAAGTAAAAATTGATTTGAAACTTTAAAACACACACACAAACTGTGTTTCTCCGAAAATTTAATCCTAATTTTGAGACTTGGGTTTATAAAAGTTTGTTTAATATTTATAAACAAAACAAGTAATAAATACTAAACAGCGTTTCTTGCCGGTGTCTTAAAGTATTACAAGAATCTCTTATTGTATTGCATGCATTAACATTATCCTAATCCAAGTACATATTTTGGGAGTTGTATCGTTAGTCTAGGGATTGACCAGAGCATCGACATCCTAAAATGTAATAATTAACAAATAACATTGACATCAACATTTTAAATCATAAAATACATGTTTTTAATAGACAGAGTAGTACCTCACCTTAGAAAACCATGTTTATGTTCATCATAGTGTGTTAACCAAACCATAAAACCAACACCTTTTGTTTAAACCATACTATAAGAAAATATTCCATCAATAAATGTTGAAGCCTTACTTAAAATATATACAATTGAAATAACTGCTAAGTTTTACTAAAATTACTAAAGCAATCATTGATTGCACCGTTCGCCCACATCAAACAAGCATAGTTTAATTAATATATAAACAATATGGCACATATTACACAATCTCAGTCAAAATTATAAAATCGTGGATCGACATCTCGTTAAAAGAATAATTCCACCGTTCTAGAGAAGAAAAGAAAGCAATTATTAAGTAGTAAACGACCCAAGATCTAAATTAAAGTTAAAAACCAAAATTCTCAACTTTGATTTAGATCTTTTCTTCTTACTTAATCTTCAAAAAACCAATTGAATATTTACATTCATAATTACACCTTATGAGATAAAAAGAAAGCATGCGACTACCAGCAAAAGCACTTACGATACTGTAATAGTATTATATAACCATTGCTTCCATCCGACATTTGTCGTGGTGTCAATACGTGATTCAATCGTTTGGCAGAGATTCTTCCGATCGTGTGAACGTCCCGATCTGAGATCACAAAGTATTCGCTTCTTGCACTCATTGTCGCAGCCGGGACGCACTGGCGACGCTTTGTAGTAGTATTTATAGAATAAGTCAAAAGCTGCGGTTCATTCGACATTTTCTCGATCAACTCGTCCCAATCTTTTGGTCGTAATGCTTCCATACCGAAGGCTTGTCGTACTGAATATAATTTAAACCAGATTGGGTATCCGTATAAATTCGCTTCACGCAGATTCATCGTCCATGATTCATGATCAATTACAGCCTAAAAATATACAGAATTTATAAATTTATTATAAAAGATGAAAACAAAATGATTACCCTGGTTGTTTTCTCATGATCCCCATCAACATAATAAATCCGGTAGCCGGGATTAAGGTCATAGTATGGCGACACCGATGGTCCGATATAAGCAATGTTAATACTCCTGCTCAGATCTTTGTTGTCATAAAGACTTCGAACTCGTCGTAATGCGTATGGCCAAAGAATTGCGCGGTGATCGTCGCCTCATAACGGTTAATAATGGCGTAGTAGTTCCGTGACCAGACCTTGAGACAGTCCGAGTGACCGGGCGGAATGTGCCCGATTACGTGGACTTTTTCGCCGTTGAATTCGGCCGATTGGAGTTCATAAATAAACCATTGCAGTTCCGTTGCCGGATCAGTGCTGTTCAACAGCAACCACCTACAAACGCACGCATTAAACATTAACTGGGCTCTTGGACTTGAACCAAACTAAACTAAGTTAATTTTTTTGTGACCAATAATATAATAAGTATGATTATAGTTGAGTTGTGTGCGCGCTCACCAGTTTTTGTTATTACAGTAGTTCATGTTGAGCGAAATCAGCCGAAAACCAGGGCGGACCAAGACGGAATAGAAAGCGCCGCGTCGGACAGTATTGCTGACCGAACTTGGCAGCCATTTTCGCCATTGTTCGTTTAATTCGTCGTACAGCCACGAAATGGCACTGTCGGGTGTGTCGACAAATGGCGGCGGAAAGCTATTCACCGGTGCAGATTCATGATTACCCAAAGCCGGGAATATTGGTATACCCGGAAAACGCTCCGCCATTTGCAAAACTGTCTCTCGGATTATTTTCAGATTTTCTTCACGGGTTTGATTCCATACATCATGAGGCGGCAGATCTCCCGTCCACATAATATAATCAATATCCTGAAAATAATTTTAATGTTATTTTAGGTTATTTTTTGTTTGAATTAATTAAACTCACAGTATGCGTATCCTGAATGTGTTTCAACATATTGTCAACTGTTACTTTTGGTGTATCGCATTTCCTGTAGTCGCCCCACCTTAAATGAACAGTAATATTACATCCTGTCAGTTGTTACACGTAAAAAACTCACTTTCCGGCTTTTTGATCTTTTGATGCCGCTGGACCATTTGTTAAGCGACAACACAAAGGCTCCGAACAGTCAGCGTTACTTCCCTCCATGTAATATGGATCATAATGAGTGTCAGACAAATGTAAAACTTTAAACGATGGCGCGTTTTCTTCCGGAACACGAGATTCCGTCACTTCCGGTTTGGGTACAGGTGGGAACATCACTTCCCATTCGTGATAAGGGTTATAAACGTCTCCACAACCATCGCCAATCACAAAACTACAGATTTCATCAGGTCCTAAGAGTAAAAACAACATAACCTCAATTAATATCTACAAAACTTGTTTTGAGGTTAACTTACCTAATTGTACTTTGTCAAGTACTTGAATAACTTCCCCAGCAAAAAGTTCAGTCACACCTTCACAAACACGCGATGATTGAATCTTGAGATTGACGCAGAATTGATAAATCATTTTCATGATTTCCTTGTCCGATTTGCCGGTTCTAATGTAATGCTGAAGAAGTCCGGCGCCTGGAATAAATAAATGATGCGTAGAATGTTTTCGTATTTTTTGCTTTGTTTAAGATAATTACCGGCTTTGCATGCGGTGCACGAAACTTTCGATAGCAGCGAATTCTCGATTTCGAAAGCCACTTGCTTGAGGTTGAGCAGTTTGAGCGCCTTGTCGACGAATTTAGGTAAATGTGTCGCGTCATCCCTTTCCCACAGCGACAATAATCTGCCCTGAAAGGAATCAATTCCATTACGATTTATGTCATTACAAAGTATAAATAACAAAGAAATATTTTAATATGTGCAGTTATTTCCGGTTACACTTCTCATCCGCCATATTGTTTTATTGTTTCTAGTTGTTTTTTAATGATTGCGTAACACTGCTGCAATGAATACCAATATACCTACTTACACTAGATGAAACTGTGGCTTTAGCCGGCTTCGTGTGATTTCTTACGACATTCGACAACAATGGCGTCCGATGCGGTTCCGTCTTGTAGTTCCAATTGTCCTTGTATTCGTCGGTCTCGCCGTCATGTCCCTGGATAAGCACCGGAACGGCTTGAATTCGAAACAGAATGTTAAGCACGAGGAAAATCATCAAAATGATTACAATTTGACATTATTACCTTTTGCTCGTACTGCCAGTACTACTATTAGTAATTGTATCCATAATGTCGTAACTATATATTTCATAATCTAGAAACAAAAGAAAAACAACATTTGAATAATAAACAATTGAAGAAAGTCGTATGTAACGTAAACTAAAGGTATTAAAGTTGATATTGAGCTGAAAATTGATGTTACTAGATTAAATAATCATTTAAAACGGTTAAACTAATTTCAGAAATGCGTGTTACTTATATGTTGCCGCTTATTACCCATTTTATGGATGGAGAAAGTTCCAAGATCGCCGCTCGTATAACTTAATGATTATGTAATAAAAAATCACGTAATTTTTTCGGACCTCGAAATTTCTCTCATTTCTTGTGCGTATTCATTAGTTCACCGGAAAAGAAAGGTCATTTTTTACTTTACAACATAAACAAGGTTAATTACAAAAGAACAATCATCTTTTTTCATGTTTAAGGTTATGTTGTGCTAATAAATGACATTTTGACATTTAACTAACCTTAAAACTCACTTAAATGATTTTTTTCACCATAGAGGGCGTAATTTAATGTATGCAACACAATATACTACTAATCATACCTCTTGATAGTTAATAATGATTGCAAATCCGTGTTAGAAACGTCCTGTCAAGTTCCAGGTTAAAAATAAAGTCAAAGCGTTTCCTAATTGAATATAAATGATGAGAAAGGCGGACATGAAGCGTGTTGCAAGCGTATCGAACAGAAACAATATTGAACGGACTTGTGAACGTTAGTCATATCAACCTAATGTCGATAAGAAATCGATAACTAATCAACTATAAATAATTAAAGACTACGATTCGCGACTCGACTGCTTCTGTCAGTCGATATTTCTTATCTTGTCATTTTGCATTATTGATAGTGTTTGAACTTTGCTGGATGCACATCATAACTTCACATGGCATTATAAAGCAAATGTTAATATTAATGATGACTAATAATTTATTATTCTACAAGTAATAAAATACGATATTGATGATATTAATTAACGCGGAAAAAAACTTCAATCGATTGATTATATCAACGATTACGAAGATACCGAATGCATATATGTTCACACTTTCGAATTTACAGTTACCCCAAATTCTTCGTGCCACTACACTTACTGATTTGTAGTTGTAGTGGTCATGCATACAACATTCTTTGACTGACTTTGGCTACTTTATGTTTTTTGTTTTGTTTGGTTTCTATATTAAAATACATTGCAAACAATAAAATATTATTTTTTAATTAAACTAACCTCAAATTTCACTTATACTCAAGTAATACACAGAGGGCAGCACTAGTATGAATAAATTTTGAGGTTAGTTTCTTGTTGCTAGTTTATAATATCACAGCATTGGGTAGAACACACGTGTAAACTGTTTGAATGGTTTGAAAGATGCATTCGTGGTGGCACGCACATGAGAGACATTGACATTGAGTGCATTAGTAAAGTTAATAACAGGAGAAAGCGGCGTGCGGCGTGTGGCGTGAACTGCATGGAAAATATCGTCGGGATGTTCATAAAGCGCGTGATTCATGATCATGATAATGACCGCTGGACGTTTTTTGTTTCTTCTCTGGAGCATTAAATTAATTTACTCGTTTGAAAATTACGCAACAATAAACACCAAGATCCGGAAAACACAAAACACCGGAAATGATATTACACACATATGTATAGCATACATAATTTAAACAAAATTTTATTTAAGTTTATTAGTGTAATTGTTTGAGTTTTGGAGTGAGTGGTAATTTAATAAAACCTAAAAACGTAATACTAGGTATTATCGCAGTATGCTAATACTATTATTATATGATTTAATGTGAGAATGCGTTCGGCATAGAATGAAGCAGTAAATTGAAATGAGCATTAGTTAGATATTGTGTTCTCTATTCGCGCACGGAATAATTATGTCATTGTGTCAACCTACATTTCTTTTATTTGAAATCGTACGATTTGAAACTCTTTTTTAGCTTAGATTGGTGGTACGTCTTGAAATTTGTTATTCTACATTCGAAAAAAGAAATTCGTACTAGTTACGCTCATGTGGAATTACACTAACAAATTTTATTCATATATGTATTAATATTGTGAAGAACAAACATAAATTCAGTTAAATTCAGAAATAAATAGTTAATTTATTATTTTACTATCTCGGACTTGAAATTCATTTGTTTTTGTGATAGAAATGTAATTGTTTAATTAAATTTTAGTAGATGTAATACTTTACTTGATTATTTGTAATACTTATAACACTTTTTATAATAAAATGCAAATTGCACTGTTTTACTGCTAATTTAGTGCGTCAAGTAATACTTTAGTAATTTTTGACATTGACCTAACCTCAAACTTAACCTTTCTATATTTTAAAACACTTTAAACATAATTCCACGGCCTAAAAGTCTCAATTTACAACAAAATTGATTTTATCCCAAAAATAATAACGCCTTTCAAACAATTTTCAACTAATTAAATAATAACCATGTGAAAATGTTGTATCTTTGAGGTCAAGTTTAAGGTTACCGGTTACCAATATTTCTTTAATGGCATATTTGATGCCTAATAAATTAAGGTGCTATAAAAGTCTTCACCTCTTGGAAAAAACAATTTTTTGAACAACAGGCTGACTCACATTCGTGTATTTTCACATGATTCACGTTTAAGGCGAACTTTTCGAAAATTTCTTTTCGCCTCTTTTGCTTCTTTGACTTTGACTTTGGCTGGCTTTAGCACACGAACAAAGTACACGACAAAGCGGTCGCTATATTATAGGGTCATCAGACGGGAATTCTTCGTAACGGTTCTCTCGTAGTCTGTACGAATAAGAAAAAATAATGTCAAGGTTGATTGGCGATATTTTCGACCGAACAGACGCACACTTTATGTGTCTTATTGACACTACCAGATGATGTTATTATCAATATAAATAGAAATAAATTTATTTATTTAGAAATTCTTCTGTGTATTAAAATTCAGTTGAGGTAGTGTAGGAAGTCTGTGTTTTTCTGTTGTTTTAGTAAATGACTGCTAATTTGCTTGAAATTACACGTTGAATAGAATTTATTGACGTGTGTTGTTAGGAACTTCTTGTTTCTTCTAAAAACGAGAAAGTAAATCCGAAGATCAATGACCGACTTCCTAGCGTAACACAAACATCTAGAAGTTACAACGATAACTCGACCATCGACCATCGACCATCTTGCTACTGGAATTACCAGTAAATTGCTCTGGTTGTACAATGTCATTCAATTAGGAATTAGGTGCCTGAAGCAATCGTAAATGTTTCATTAATAAATCGATTCGTGTCTGTAAAACATCGTCAACTATGAGAAAGCTGAATGTGGGGCGCTGTGTACTCGTGTACAATTGACAAAGCAAAATGGCGTTATTAGAATAATTTTAACCTAATATTTTAGCGTCTTATCATTTGCAAAAAATATTATGTGAATACTTATCTACGCAAAATAATATTACTTTGAAACAAAATAAGCAAAAGTTGAATAAACATGCGCAATGTGTTTATATTTCCGTGGCTGTTGCTATGGCCATTTTAAATTATTCACAGCATGACAAGTTAGAAAAACTACACCTGTGGACGTGATTGTTTGCAATTGCTTGCAATTCTAATTAAAATTGATTCAAACGCGACAACAAAGAACAAAAAATTCAAGGTCGGCAAAATCCCACGTCAAAATTAAGTAACACTATCATTAATACACATTAAGATGATTTTAGAGCAAACTATGAGTAATAGCATAAAATTTCATCGCATAAAATTTTCCCAACAATAAAAAATTGCCAAAAATGAACTAAATTTTTAATTATAAACTAAAATGAACAAATTTCCTACTTTACATGTCTACAATATAAACATACTCAACTATTTTCTATATTTTAATCATTATAAGTAAACTTTTCTTTAATCCAACATAATGACAAGTATGAATCTAATTGTTGAATAAATAGGCTATTTATTTCATGATTTCTTGATTACTTTCATCGTAAAAAGTATGAAAGTACTTATCAACAGAATAACACACTTGCCAATGCTATATTCCACTTCGGCTGCACTAATTTTCTATCGATTGCCATTATTCACCATGAGCGTGCTGCGGCGCGATATTGGCGCGAAAGTGGAATGCGTTTAATTCGCGCACGATGCGCGCACGCTCGCCAATTCATCTTGCCAAATCATTCAAATGTCTAAGTATGTGGTAGTAGTAGTGCTGGTAGATACTAAACTACCATAACTGACAAAAATGAAGAAATTCGCTGGTTAATTTTCATACAACCGTTTAATTATTAGTCAGAAAACTAAGCAGGAACGTTACTTTTACTTCATGCAATGTTGTGGAAAATCTTAATTTTCTTGGAACTTGCCATGAAATTACATATTATTTGTGTACACTTTGCATTGTAGGTAGGTATTATAATTGTTTGAAAGTTCGCGGTGAATTCTAACAGTGTTTACCATTTTTCTTTCTAGTTTTTAATCATAGTGCAATTTTTAGTTTAAAATATTATTTTCTTTAATTTATATAAATGAAATGAATGAAATAAAACAAATTTTAGGTGAATTTCTATTATAAAATAAACAAAAACTAAAAAATGGTTAGAAAAATCGTAATATTTTGTTATTATAAACAATAAAACATTAATTATATGCATTTTATCTTTTAAACATTAAAATTATATTAAAAATTCTGTTTTACTGTCATTAAAAGTCCTTGTAAATAATATTATTTCATTTAAAATACTTTCCTAGATATTGATTAGTCCAATCAATACTTTACGATTATTAATTATTTATTAAACGTACAATCACTGTTTCTTGCTCCACGCAATATCCATTCCATGCAGGTTGCCTTCAAAGCAACATTTTCCACTTAAATCATTCACATATTTTCCCCTCGCCAGTTTAACATAATTTAACACAACTTGACACACCATTGATTGCAAAACTTAGAACCAGATTGCGACAATCACATAAAATCACACATTATTATACACTCATTTACGTAACAAATTGCGCCGGTTGATAATTCCTCAATTGCATGTGCATGGCAGTGTCTGATACCATTCACTGAGTAATGAGGAATGAGCAAGTTTGGTAATGAGCATGCCGCCTGCATACTTATAAGTATTTTATACTTTGTAGACATACAACAAGTTTATAGTGTGTTGTAGAGTTTACTTAATCAATACAAAATCGGTAGACTACAACAGTGCATCAAGTTTTCGCCTATGGATCATTTATTTTATTGGAGGCTCGTGTCTCATCTATGCACTGAATGTATCGAAGAGGCAAAGAATAGACGTGGAAGACGTGGAATGAAGTTGTAACTTTCTATTTACACTTACACACGTGACCAAGTGGAATCTAGTTGCTAGATTGCTAGATACTTGTGTATGACTAAGACTTTAAGTTTTCGTTGAACAAATTAAAGTTATTTAAGCAAATAAACTTAATATAAGGTTAAAAAATGTTTTGCAGTGGAATTTGATATGATTTTCAGCTTTAGAAGCATTTTATTGTATCAAAAATAGGAAATACTATTAAACAGCTAATGGGATATAATCTGCTACATTTATATATCATTTTTTTGCTCATATAGGTTATGTTAAAAGAATAAATTGAATAAATAATGAAAAATACAAAAATTCATTAAAATTGCCTTTAATATCCTACATAGAAAACAAAATATTGTTAATTCTATAGATTCATAGTTCTACAAACATGAAAACCTGCACGTGTTGCAATGGTTGCATAGGTTAAACATGGTTATGTAATATTCTGCACTATTTTACGTTTTTAACCTCTTTAACTTCTTCTTTTACCACATAATTCACAAAATCAATTTTATTCAATAAAAGAACATATGTTAATAGCAATTAAATTGCCTCAAAACTAATTAAGAACATAATCGTAATTAATTCCATAACAAACGCATTGTACTATACTCGTGCACAGATTCCATCTGTAACAGCTGTCATGCGTGTGGCGTTGATCTGTCATTATCGCCATTCACAGCATTTCTAAGCAAGACTTTCTGCCGTCTGATTTCCTTCCTCAACCGCTCAAGGTGAATGCAATTCAGAGTTTCACAGGTAGGATGTGACTAATTCACTAACGCACATGCATCCAACCATACATGGCCGATGCACTAGGCAGATACCGCAAACAATAGATAAATTCGCAGAAGTAAATAATTTCTTAATTTCCTTATTACGATTTATAAAGTCAAAAAAAGTGATAATTAGAGATAAATTTGACAATGTGACAAGTTATTTCTTAACTTCAACAATTACAATCTCACTTATTAACGTTCAAGTGTCATTGAAGGTTAAATTTATTATTATGAACTCAATTATTAACACTAATTTATTTGCGACAGTAAAACTTTGATAAAACAGTAAATAAAAAATATATTGATAACATGTGACGCGACAACACGTTATCAATTATTGGCCAACTACAAACTTCACAACTTCAACAAATACACACATATTACAAATAATTTTGATGCTGCGTGTGTGAATTCACACACCCTGAATATTAATGAACATGTTATCTGTTGTTTACTTGACTTAAGCTTGAAAAACTCTTGCAAAAAAGACTACAACACAACCGTTTTAAAAACGGTTACTGTACGCGCAGAATTTATAATTATTTTCGTATTGTACACAGAGGTGAATAAAAACCACACACAAAGTCTTTAGAAAAACTTCTATTTGCGTAGTAAGTACAGTTTTAATTTTTAATTCTCATATAGTAGGAGTTTGGTGATGAGCACGAAGTCGAATCTTTTTTGTTATAAAAGTAACACGAATTTTGAATAAAACATTACCGAAGTTAACTGTTTGTGAAATTTTGAACTCTTATGTAAGCGTTTAGAGAAATAACCGTTTTTCTTATTGTTTGTAAACAAATTAATGAATTTAAAGTGAATTGAACAATAAATTACGCGTGTTTTCAACGGAAAAAGGTTATCAAGCAATTTATGCTCATCGCATCTTTGTGTGCGCGAAAAGTTAAGAGAAATCACATTTTTATTACTCCAAAATGAAACGTGAAACGCACAAAACGCGAAAACGTTTGATTATTTCATGAATATCTATAAATAACCCACAAATTTGGCACATTGGCACATTTGCACATCGATAGCGGATTGCTTAAGTAGGTACAGGTTTTGTACTAGCCACTTTGAAACATTTTCACTTACCAATTTCTTTAATTTATTTCGCACACGTAGAAACTGCGAAATATCACACTTCACACGTTTTCAGGTTAAATATATAAATTGATTACGAATTGGGAACACTTTTATCGACGCATTTGTTTAGTTTGGTTTAGATATGTATCCACAATTTAAGTTTGTAGTTTACGTCGCGTTGTGGATTATGGTGCGCTGTGAACGAACGCGCTCTGCGTGCACCTCGAGCGTCCGCAGCTTTTACTGAAAGACTGGCGTGATGGCGATGCCCCGAACAACCGCTTCTCGGTACCGCGAGTCCCGCGAGTGGTACCGGTACCACTCCGCGCTCCGCTCACGCGATCCGCGTCTTCCGTTGATGCTTGATGCCTTGATGCCATTGCGATCCGACGCGCTGTCCATTGCTGCGGTGTCCTGCTGACGGGCCCGATCTGGGTCATCGCGCCGAACGCACGAATATTTGTTATTGTTTATATACGTCAAGTCCAAGACCAATACATTGTCCAGATGACATCAAGATAAATATGTTTGTTATTGATTAATCGCGGAGCGAAGATAACGTTTGACTGAAAATTGTAAATGCGTAAATTGTTTTATGCAATGAAACACTCAGAATAATTACAAATTTATTCATTAATACTTAGAAGGTTTGTTAATATGAAAAATTGTGTTAATTTACAAGGAAATTAAAGAAAAAGTTTATTTTTTGCTTGTTTGAAGTTAGGAACGGTTTATACATAGTCTTAATTTATATTGCGTGTCTAAAATAGCAATTTTACACACTCATTATAATTCATCACATGAAAATCTTTTATTTTGTGAATTTATTTGTTTTAATCATGTTTTATTTGTCCTTAACAAAAATATGTACTTAAATGCAGTTAAATTGAAACTTAAATACAATAATTTTCAGTTTGAATAGTATTTATTATTGCTAAATGGACAATGGTCTTAATCGGCTGCGTACGTCACAGTATATTAACAAGTACTTTTATCTACACGGTTTTTAATTAAAACTTAATTAACTGCATAGTGCCAATTCATCATTTACGTTACGTTATCAATGCGCATGTTTTTGTAACACCGTTTAAGTGTCAATGCATTCAACACAATCAATAAAATTTAGTTAAAAATATTATCGGATTCATAATATAAAATTATTGTAATTAATTTTTTAAACACTTTTTTTTTTGTTGTTGCGCATGAGTCAGTTTGAAATTTATTCCCACTAGTTTTATTCAAACACTGACAATATTGAAGCCACCCTTGGCTCCGGCGCCCTCTAGCGGCGATTGGGGCTACGAGCACCGCCGACTTGACCGCGCTAAGGATGCTCAACTAGAGATCCTAGGGTGCTAGGATCTCTAGGGAGCTGTCCGCATGAGAAGCGGCAGCTCACAACGACACTCGCGCTTCCGACCTCACTAAGCATCGACACGTTACAAGCGAGCTCAACCTCTCAGAACAGTGACAACCTCACCAGCCCACCAATACCCAAGCCCTTCACCACCGCTGACAGACAACCTACGCATCAATATAACCTCACAATTTATTAAACGGTCTGATGTTTTCTGCAAATGTTTTGTTAAAATTTTCGAGGTTTTGTGGTTGTATTTAATTCAATATTGCTGTAAACTTTGTCAAATATGGACCAAGAAGAGTTTTTGGGGTCTTTAGCAAAGCAGAAATTAACAATTCTTGAATTCCAACAAATAATGACAAGTTTTGGTGAAAATTCTGTTGCATCTGAGCTGGAATCAGTTCTAAATGAATTAGATACAATTAATACCCAGCATTTACGTTCGCTGGCAGCGTTAAAAGCAATGCCACCTCCAGAAGCAGGATCACAAGAAGCTACAGAAGAGCTTTTCCAACAAGCACTGGAAAATATACCAGATAAAGAAGAATCCGATTCTGATGATGATGAAGAAAATGCTACTCAATCCAACAATGACAGTGCACTGGGAGATAGAAGTTTTATTCTCTCACAAGTTGATTACATTCCTGTTGATCCAATCACAAAGAATAAAATTTGTGATCCTGCTAGGAACAGTGTTTGCAATCATGTATATGAGCATGATATTATCATGGATTATCTGAAACAGTTTTACAGGAAGAGATTGAAAAAGAAAGTTAAATGTCCATACATTGGTTGTTCTAATAAAAATGTTAAAGCAGAACATATTATTAGAGATCCTGAGTTAAAAAAGAAGTTTGTTGCCATGATGAATACTGAAGAAGTTAATCCAAATGACAGTGTTATTTCTATCTTAGAGGGTTAATGTTTATTAATATTTGTAATAAATAATGATTAATTTATTATTTTAATGTAATACTTGACTTAAAACATGAATCGGTCTAAGAACATGAATTTTCTTAAATAAATCTAATGATGCGTTTTTAATGTAGGCAACCAAGTATACACTACATTAGTTATCAAGCTAATATTTTCCCGAGGACATTTATAAATAGATTTCCTAGTCTATAGATGTTAAATAAATGTGTTTTCATTAAATATTTAAGTTTAGTAAACACAAATACAAATTTGAATAACATAGAAAAGTTCTAAACACGAAAGTAACTAGGCACAAAAGTACCCAGATCCGGCCAGTTAAACGTCACTATGACGTTTTGTAAATAAAGTGTAGTATTTTTTTTTGGAATTGCGCACACATCAATTTGTTATTAACAAATTTCCCTTCCCCAAATGGTAAAAACTGTTTCCACATCGGTGCGGGCGACGTGTACCTATGAGTAATTCGACATACTACGTCGCGACTATTCGCAATCAACCGAAATTGCGTCCGCTCAATGCTTTGGCCTCGGTTCCTCATCAATTGCAGCGATTCAGCACTATATTTAACAACAACAACATTCCATAGATAAACAAAAACTATCTAAGCTACTACAAGTAACATATGTTTAATTATAAAACATAAATTGGACATATTCTCATCTATAAAATGGCCAACATAAAGTGCAAAGTAAGAATGATCTTTTTCTTTAAAATACATAGTTTAATTGTTATTTTATTATTTTAAAGGAGTGCGGTTGTGTGTGTCCTAAATGTACACTAGACCATGATGTCCACCTGCATGTGGAGATTGAAAACTTGAAGCAGCAGCTTCTTGAGAAGCACAATCATATTGTTACAATGGAGACCAACTTCTTAAATGAAGCAAATAAATATCCAAATGGGGAGTTGTTGGCATTACATGATGAGTTATTAACATGGCAGGATAAGTACAAAAGGCATGTTTAAAATTACTGTGTAATTAAATAAATCAAATAACAAAACTGTTGCTATCTTTCAGATTATATGATGCTCACAGAAGAATACAGAGGGTAAATCAAGGTTTAGAAGATAAACTTTTAAGATTAGTTGACATTAGTGAAACTGATAAGAACACATTAACTAAAGATGTTGCTACTTTATCATACAAACTAGCTGAGGCAAATTATACCATTAAAAAACTTACTGAAGATAATGTAAGTTAATTAAATACATTTTAACTATGCAAACAATTAACTAAATACAGAAAAGACAGTTACAGTATTAATTTTAATATTTGTTTGTTTTAGGAGCGATATAAGAACGATGTTTCTGTGGCGATTCAGTTTTTGCAGTGTAAACCAGGAAATTTCGTTTCTCAGAAGTTTGATACGGTAAATATAACTTTTTTACTATTAGTCTAATTTATTTGATTGTGAGAAGTTGACCATGAAATTATTTATAGCTCTTTAAAGCAACTTTATCGCTTAACGGTAAATCATTGCATAAATTTAAAATACGGTATTAGTTTGAACAATGTACAAGCAGAAATTTCAAATTCTCTCATTTTCTATTTCTGTTTTTATAGTTACCAAATGAAGTACAAGCAAAAGTCTCAACCTACATGGGCGGAAAGCGCAAAACAGACGAAAAGAAAACGCCGCCGGAGATAAAAAGCATTAAAGTTCCTATTCCGACATTCCCCCCTACTGCAATGGTGTACTCCGTGCCCAAATCGCAATCTCCACCTAGAACCCGCGAAGAAAAAGAACCGGAGCCTTCAGTTGACATAGTCTCTGCTGCGATAATGGCGAAAGTTCTCGAGGAACGCGCCAGAGAGCGTTCCTGTGTAAAACACTGCGACACTTGCACTTGCTCCAACCAGCTGAAAATCATCCACAACACATCGCAACATTCAATCGCAACACAAACCACCAGCACACTCACTGCAACACAAAACGATTCGTTGTGTCTGCAATGCAATAATAAAGTTACCGAAAGATCAACGCTACAGATCGTCAAGGGTGTGAGTAGTGTTGATGCAGGTAAAAATAAAGCGATACCGGTATATATTCATGATTATGAAGCGAATGCAAACGCGAATTTGGCTGTAAACGTTGCGAAAGTGCAGCCGAATAATTTCTTGAACGATAATCTTATGAGTACAGAATGTAGTAAGTTGCGCAAGCCGGTGACGAGTAGTAACAAGCTTGGTTCAGTGCGTGTGGTGCCTGTAACACCGACAGTTGTGCCCACAGCAACTGTTAATACTGTCGCTGTGACGGAAACAGATGATTTGATTGATTTAGGTACACCTTCAACAGGAGGTAATAATGGTGGTGAGATTATTTACTTTGCAAATGAACGCTCACATAAAAAATCACATAAAGTTAAAACGCACGATAAAACTAAACTTACCCATACTTTTGCTGCAACGCGTTTACAACCGCAGTCGAAAGCGAATTATGAAAGTTTATTACTTAAAAGTTGTTCGGATGATTTTCGTTCCATACTTGTACCAACAGCGGATGTTTCTGTTGTTTCTGCGCCTGTTGTTCCGGTTCCAGTTGCATCTTTAGAACGTAAGCCATCGTCGTTATCATCGGGCGATCATAGTGAATTTACTAATAGCGAATTGACGAATAGCGCAACGAATTACCAAAACCAAAGAATTGAGGAGTGGATGGACAGTATAAACTTGACTGAAACAGCGGCGGTTGGCAGTAACTGCGGGACAGATTGTTCAGAGTCGTTGGTTTCATCACAAGATGCTAGTTTTAGTGTTGGAAAGAAACTGAATGTTTCTTCGGAGGAACTGTCGATTCAGAAGGATGAAATTGAGAAGGGAGGGTTTAAGACGGATATAGACACAACCAAATACAAGGAGATGGAGGATCACGTTAAGAAATTTCTTCTAGGTGAATGTACTCTCTTAAGTGATGTCAAAAAGAATGATTACGATTAGTTATGTATTAAGATGCTTCCATTTGTAGACATGACAAGTGAAAAACCCCAATATTTAATTTTAGAAGAGGAAATTTGTGACAATCTTTTACAATTTCGGAGTTTTTCTTTTTCAAAACTCAAATTTTTTTCCAAATTTATAGCTTTTTGTCAATTTATCGCATTTTGAATTATTTGTGTAATTTTACCAAATTTTGAAATACTTTAGAACGGTACTATAAACGCGCTCAAAATATTCTTTTGTTAAAGAAAAACTTTGTGAATGATTAAATTTAAGCTTTGATTGGCTTCTTTCAATAATCTAAGTAAATGTGACATAAACTAACGCATATTGAAGTATTTAATAGGAATATCTTGCGTATTCATTCACCATATTGAGAAAAAATGCTGTGATCAATTTAACTGTGGAAATATAACATGACGTAGAACATAATAAGTACAGGTACATGACGTAGGGTACTCGTAGAATGAAACAACGCATTCGATTCGAATACATACATACTAAGCAAGCTATGTAGCTGGTTGTAGTGAGTTGCTGAAAAGTTGACCAAAAACACATCACGAATTCCAAAGCTCATAAAATGTAAATACACTCTTACACTATTTAGATAGATAGATAGGTAGATAGAAAAAAGCAAGGGCATAAATGCATTCTAATTTCGATGTATATTTTCAAATTGCTCATCAGCCATCATTCAAATCTCTAAGTTTCAAATTTTATCTCTAATGAAACACTGCATGCATGGTAATACTTTCATTTATTCCTGCAATATTTGATTATAAATTGCTTGTGTAACTGTGACAAATATACATATAATCCTTAGATGTTGTATAATTGGTGAAAAAATAACTTTTGCTTTGGAATCTTTCATAACATGTATTTTAAATGTAGATTTGTTAATCTGTATATTGGGTTGCCTATAGTAGCATACATGATGTTTCCCTGTTCTTGCTTGTTTCGTTTCTTCACTTCTTCGGCGTGCGGCCAACGACGCCGCCCGACGTTTGAATTACAAACCGGAATTCACGCCGCGCCGGGTTCAGCTTGGTTCGCGTTTCAGCAGAGCAGACGCCGGCTGCCCGTCGAGTGCATCGCGAATGCTTCGCCCTCGCGCTTCGTGCCGCATATGGTCTCGCACTCTGACGAATTAGCAAAACCGGCATGAGGCCATAATAAGACGCGTTCATTTACTAAACCTTGGTGAATATTAGTGAATCTTGCAATATAGAACTGTCCTGGCAGAAAACTACGCGAAACGTGTGAATACCGGTGAATAAAAGCGTGGTTTGTCGGCGTGCCACATGTAAACAACGATGGAACAACGGCGATAAACAAACGTCGAACGTTTATGGTGACTTTTTTCTTTGAACAGTGTGTTATTTGCTGAAATGAGCGGAAACATGTGTGGATTAGTTCATCGCGCTTTCGGCGTATTCCTAGGTGAGTTATCCAATTGGAAATTTAAAAAATATTATTTTATCATCTCTAATCATTTGGTAAAATTTTGTAAAATTGGTTTGGTAAATTATTATTTTGAATATTTTTGCTTGGGCAGTTTTTAAAATGGCGTCTAATATAAAAAAAACAAATAAATGTATCTTAAAATTAATAACATCTTTTGATTAGGAAAAATTGCGATAAGTATTTTTGTGTAATTATGTCGATGATCGTTTTGCACGTGCAATTTGCCAATGGTGATACGACTTGATATTTATGGCAGATGTTTCACATAAATTACCTCGTACTTACATACTTTCGTACATTTATCGTTTCTTTATCGCAGTGTACGCCGTTCAATTTTCTTTCAGTACCAAAAGTTTAATAACATCTCACATACAAAAAACTCTTGATAAATTGATGAGTCAAGAATGAAGCAGGCGCACCTTCCACCTATATGTATGTTATTGTTAACGAATGATGTTTTTTATACCGGCGTGGCTGTTGTAACCTTTTAAAATTGATAATTGGGGCGCATCTGTCCAATTTGAAAGGAATCCTATTGTGTCGACGACCAATTGCTTTCGGAAACTACTTTATTTCGTCGAAATCGGCGTACTTCTTCTTGGAATATGTATACATACGAATGTGAAGGTACAGAACATTTCTGTGAATGTACGAGTAATGACACATTATTCAACGAAGTGAAGAAGCACAATTGGCATGGCGAGCGGGATAGTCTTGCGGACGTTGGGGTGCATTACAGTATTATCTCGTTACTAGATTCACGCATGAGTGATTAGTTTATGTGATTTGTATCAAAATTCGATTTTGGATAGAGTTTTGTTTGAGTTTTGTTAGATGATTGTAGTCATATGATTTAGTTTTTTGTTAATTACTCGTGAATTAATCAAGTTGCAGTAATGATTTTTGCAGGATTCTGTTTAGTATTAAATTATAGATCAAATTTAGTATGAATTTAATGGAAAACAGTGTTTTATCATGAATTACGGACCAATTTCTACGATCTTATAATATTTTTTTTTGCAATACCAACTTTAATTTAACATTACGCTGTGATTATTATCTTTTTCGTACACATTTTAAGACGTTGAGATAAAAAATTTAATTAAGAATCCAATTTTGAAAGTAATATTGTTTTTGCTCAAACCATTTTCGAGTAATAAATAAATTACTATATAAAACAAAGTGATTTTCACAATGTGTGAAAATAAAGTCAAAACTTAATTTTTCTCCTCTAAGCTCTCCATTGGTGCCATTTTCCGAGCTCCTGATAATATTCCACATTAAAAATACGTATTCAGGATGCATCTAGTGATACCATCTGATTACCTTGCAATGTATACGAGATAACAAGTTATTAACACTAGATTAAAATTTAGTTATGCATAGATGTTAATATCAGCCCCGATCGGCGCAGGAACTTACGTCCTCGCTGGTTCTCATTACCGTTCCGAAGATTAACCCGATTAAATCTTGCGCTGGGTGGTGCGCTGGCGGCTTCATCTCGGACGCAGCGCACGTACATACATACCTATAATAATCGTACAGTGGCATTGCTTTATGTCTGTAACTCTGTATGTATTTGGTTATTATTATAATAAAGCGAGCCCCCTGTTGCGCGCCATAAATTGCCGGATATGCTTTACATAAACGCAGGAGGATGTTTACTTTCGGTGCACTTTTTATATGCGCAAGTTGATATCATTTAAAGTATAAGACTTCTGTAATCTTAAATCAAGAATCAGACACGAAGACATGAAATGCGAATATTAATATTAATTAAATCATCAAATTAAAATCTTACGTTTTTTATATATTTTCTGTGCGTGGTAGAGTTGAACGAGTTGAACTCTTGATTTTGTTCTTGGCTGTATGAAAATTGAATATTCGTAGGAGTACACACACGATAAACATTTATACATTATTTGCAGGCTGCCTGTGATGTAGCTATAGCATAAACTAGAGAGAAATCATCAAACGAATTCAGCGCCGGCTTCGATGTAGTCATATTTTGAGAGCTTTGACAACGAACGCAGCGAGCACAAGCACATGCGCTGCTTTTGCGCGCTAGTTCAGACTGCGCATGCATATTGAATGCTTTTACGGTGTGCTACCGGCGAGAATCGAAGTCGTTGCAGGAAAACCAGAAAATGAAAGATCCAGCGAATCGTGTGCCGTTGCTGCGCGTAATCTAAATTTATTCTATCTTACAATGTTAGACGAGAGAGAACGAAGGAACGAATCTTCAGAGAGACATAAACGCCATATGCAGACATGGTTAAAGTTCAATCATTTCACAACATTTAAGATTAAAAAAACAATAATTTAATTTAAGTTGAATTTGTTTCGGAAACAACTTTAAATTGCTTTTTGTTAATTATTTAGAAATTTATATTTTGAAATAAAATAAGTAACTGGAATTGCTAATTATGCATAGTGAAACTCCTTAAATAGACGAATTGATTAACTCGTCGGGGATCTATCGGTCAACCTCAAACTGCTACTTTTTCATCTCTCTCTGCGAAACGCACCATGAAGTCTCGAGAGAATCGCTTCATAGTTCCACTTGAATTTTTCTATTTCTTCTTGTTTTCTTCATGTACTTTTCTAGTTGTAGATGTAATTTAATTAAAATGTGCGTGGAAGCAAAAGTTGCTTTAGCTTTTACAAGAAATTCCTCAAAAATAATTTACGACTGCAAAGTATAAAACACGCGCATCTCTCCCCACAGAGTTCTAAATACTTAACCGTGCACTGCAACATTCTACATTTTACAATTCCTGCTGCCTGCTGCAAAACCTTCTTTTCACTGCGAAAGTGTTTTGTCGTTGTTCCGCGTACCGTACATAAAGCAAAAAAAAAGGAGAAGAAGAGGAAGCAAAAAAAAAAAACCGCGCCTAGGTCTTGAATGCGTCGTCAGGTCCCCTAATAAGGGTTGATGAAGCTACTCTGCGTCTCTGCGCTACTCGCGCACGCACTGCGCCACATCGCCGGCACGGAGAGAGTCAAGAGTAGAGAAGATCATTGAGTACTAGCACAACATACATTACTCTGTGACTGGATGTGCACTGTGCACACCCTATGTGCGTTTTCAACGAGTTCAATTTCATTCGATGTGATAGGGACTTTTTCTGTTTGCCTCTCGACTATTTTACGCGTGTATTGTGTGTAGCTTGCGGACTTTGTTTGCACTTTCGTTGTTTTCGCCTGTGTGCTATAGTTTTGCGAAGTTTTCGGAACTAAGGGTTGTTATTTCGGGGTGGACAAACCAATTACACCTCACTTTACACATGTTTTTATTGGATTTACGCTTCGAGCCTGTATATTTGTATTTCTAATTATTCTAAGTGTTGATGGCACCACTTATCTAAAATAATTGCTTGAATGCTTCTTGGGAAATTAATTGCATTTGCTTCTTTTACTTGCAGCGATTGCGTTGGTTGGCGGCACGACGGCGCAGGATGAAATTTATTTCTCCCAGTCGCCGAAGGACGCCAAAGTCGTGACGGGGAAATCTATTACTCTGCCGTGCGAAGTGACACCTAATCATGGTGTCTCCTACTATTGGGAATTGAATGGTGATTATATTTATATCTACAAGAAATATATTTATTTATTTAATTACGTTTTGCTTTATTTTCGCTGTAGGATCAAGAATTTTTAATACTACACGACGATATCAACAAGGGTCTAATTTGCACATCACGCGAGTTGATCGTGAACGAGATTCCGGTCATTTTACGTGTATTGCAAAAGATCTCAAAGGATTATCCATCACTAGTTCTTCTGCATCACTAAACATCGAATGTAAGTACCTAAAATTTCTTTTTTTTTTAACTAGTACAGAAATTAGGTTAAAGAACATACAGTGTCGCTACAAGGGCAAAATTTAAAACTACACTACGCGCATGTGCATGTAATACTATAGTAACACGTTTTTAAAGAGAAAAATTTATGAAAAGTGATGGAAATTTTTATATTCGTTGCAATGTGCTACCACCAATTTACAAGCGCGAGCATATGTTGCAGTATCGTATTTTATATTCGTTTGGCGCAGTCGGCGAAACGTTGCAGCAAGTGCAAATTGCATTTTACATATTTATTTGTGCCGACACGTTTTTGAATTCAACGAGGTATCATAAACACTCCGTGAGTTCTATTTTAGTTCTGTTTACACAATTTACCGACATCAAACGCGCGCGTTAATTAAAATTAGTCTATATCGAATCGTAGACTTTCCTTTTCTTTAGAACTGATCCTCTTTTTTCTTTACAAATTGTTTTTGTCTTGTAACGAAGCAATAAATTAAACATTTTGGTCGATCAGGATCCGACCCCACGCTGGCCTCGAGAATCTGTCAAAAGCTGGGAAATAATATCGAACCGACGAACCGGTAAATCATCTTCTGATTCGACCGTCGCGACGGTTACTTATAATCTTTTTTTAGCAGGGCCGTAATAATTTTTAGCCTATAAAAATATAAATTAGTAATTTTTAATTAGATTTAAAAAAAATTGATAATATTAAAAAAAAGATTTTTTAAACTTTTGTTTAATTTGTTTTAAATACGTCTCTGTTTGTGAACTGCTCTGATGCGAATAGATTCGTCCGAATCGTCTCTAGCCGATAAAACATGGTTGGAAAAATAGAGCTTTTCTTAGATGCCCGCAACTTACGATATTAATTTGTTGAGCATCGTCGAGGTTATTTTTTACCTGCGTGTAGTATCCCACTGAACGCCACCGCCACCCAAGATCAGATTTATGACTATCTAAAAGCTCATATTGCACTCGGAAAAAAGAAAACACCGAAAACTAATTAATTTTTTTTATTTCTTAAATTTATTTATTACTTCTTAAGCCTTAATTACTAAAATTTTGATAAAATTCCAATTTTAATGCCGCGGCAGTAAAGTAGGATTATTATAAAGTTTAAAATTAAATTTTATGTGTACCTATCTCTGGTTTAAAAGTAATTCTGTTCAATTGAACGTACATGCGTGGTATAAAGAAGTAAACGTTCGTTGCAGACTAAATAAAAGCATGTAAGAACAGAACTCGGTTTGTTTAGCACGCGTGTGTTGTGCAAGCAGAAGGGTTTGTTTCCCCGGCGCGTTTCAGCATTATTTTCGTACCGTTTCGAAAGTTTCTCGTCTCTTTCGCCCGTTGTGCTCTCCTTCACGCACGTCGAATACAGGCACGTTGAATCGTTTATTAAAACCGATTCAGGGCCGCATGCATAAAATGCACACGTGTAGTCACAAAGGCAGGTCTGTCCGCCGTCCGCGCGCAATGCAATACGTGTGTATGTGTAATATGCGCGCATGGCATAACGTCGCTCCTCTCAATGCCCGGCTCAGTTCTTTGGTTACATAAAATTAATTATCTCCAAGTCGAAGCCATTGGTGCTGCATTGGAGCATTTATGAGAAGACACGTCGGCATTAAGTTTATTAATGCGAAGAACCGCATTTAACATTAAATTCTTCCAAAGTCTATTCTCGAACCGCGGGCAGGTAACATCGTTAAGCCTTGTAATTCTTTAATACCATTACTGTTATTACTATGCGAATGGTGGCCGCAATGGAAACTGGCTGAGTTTAATTCGCTTAAAATGATTAAGTTGAAAGTCGCAGCCGTTTCCGAGATCGTCGTCGCATAACGAAGTTTACGATGAGTTAGGTCAGTGCGGTACACCATCATCAATCAATTTCAACTTAATTTACGAACAAACCCCTCTAAGTAATCACAATTTGCCTTGCATGCAAGGAAGCAAACGAAGGTTCAAACAAGGGGGCACGTATTATGCTTGCATTTAATTAACATATTTATATTTCTACAACAATCATTAGTCATTAATAAATAAATAGGTAGGTTTTTCTTATTTTTTTTGTTGTTGTCAGCACGCGTGAAGTTACTTGTCGCATATTACACACACTTATTATATCCGGAGGGGTGGGTGGCTAGTTTACGAGCACGAGGGTGTCTTCTCGGGTGCGCTCCCGACGCTCGACACTCGAGTGCTAGACAAACCTGAAACCACCCTCGCGATTTCGATATTCATGTAGGTAAGTAGTAAGTACCCTGTGGCGGGAGCAAGGCTGCTACTAAACAACGTTCTTATCCGTGCACTCACCACTCACCAACACACGTGAAGGCTTTCTAACAAGGAAGGGAAGAAATGAAAACTTAGTCATAACATACTTTTTATTTTAAATTAAAATGTAGGTAGGTATAAGTATTGTTGCGTATTTATAGTATTTTGCGATATGTTAATAAGTATTTTGCTATTCTGGGTGGAAAAAATCAAAAATCATTAAAAATCGACAAAAACTTTGCTGATTCTAATTTCGTCAATATTTAGGTATAAATTGCCAAAATGTTTCTTTTTGCATATTTCCCTTTAAAACATATTTTTAATAAATGGAAGCCGTAGTTCTATGAAATCTGCAAAATCATAAACAGATATTTAAAAAAGAAACATTAAAATATTAATATCATTCCGTACACTAAATATTTTGTACATTTAATTATTAATTCAAATATTTTTATGCGTCATTTCACACTTTACGTCTTAAAATTTAATTTAAAACAAAATTTACGATGTTAATTTAAGTTTCGGCGTCGTCAGTTAAAATTTTACTAGGTGCTGAAGCAGATTAAATTCTGACGGTGTGTTTTGACTCAGTTATGACTGATAATTTAGCACCCACGTGGTATACAGTGTATTTCTGTGTATGCGTGGGTGTGGTGAAAAGAATATAGCATTTATCTGCTTTCTGCTGCTCCCGCTCAAATAGTGTGCGTGTGGTGCCGCCGCGCTCGTAATAATGCGCTCGTAAAGATACGCACTGCGAGCACTTTCGCTGTAAAACGCGCTCGCGGACGATTCACCCCCGCTTCGCTTCTTTTACGACCCGCCGGGTGGAAATGTGTGTGTGTTTGGCCGTGTTGGCACTGTTGGCGCGACTAAATTATCGCGTGTAATCAAAATATACGAGTGAGTATGACGCGTCGGGGTCCTAAACAAACCACCCCAGGACGCCCCCGACGCCCTAGACATCATCTCACACCATCATCATGTAAACAACGTCAATAACCAGATATAAAAAAAACCAAAGGCACACACATTCGTTATATATTTATACAAATATTTGTTATGCTCGAATATGATTTTGATTTGATTGGAAATGTTTTTTTATCGCACAAAACGCGTTTGATTGGGCTGCGCACGATCGTAATATTCAATTGAAGTCACGCACCTGCTCGCGCACGAAAACGCACTTTTCGAAATGGGATTCGACGTCGAATGTAGATGCTATCGAGGTGTGTTTATTAGGCACGTTTTTGTTTGCAAGCTGAAAAGAAGAATGAACGTTTGATGTGAATGAAAGTCATGCATTTTTAACTTCACATTTTAAATTCACTCTGTTTGGCCATATGCCACGCGGGGAAATTTACTACGCTAAAAAATAATAAATCAACATATGGTCTGGTCTTTTATGTTTGATTAAAGTTTGAGTTCCATTTCGATCGTAACTTAACTGTACATCCGGTTTTCGAACACACAATTCGAAAATCAGACGCTGGCGCAGGAACGCAATCCGCGTTCTCATCGGTGAGTACCGAGCAGCAGAGGAGTACAATTTGTGTGCGCTTGTGCTCGGCCCCGCGTATATGATGTATTTTCTGTGCATCGCGGACTTGATTCCCACCGTAATTTTCTACTCGAGTTCCTGTGCTCGCTTGTGCTCGCAGCGAGAGTTGACTTGGAACGTCGGAACCTCTTCGCCGGCGACGCTTTTTGTCGTCGCTGCGCGCCGAGTGAAGAGTGAAGTGTCTTCCACTACATCACGTGTATAAGAATTCGCATTCAGTTTTCGCTGAAATTACCATGGAATTGACGCGTCTCGTCGATGCATCATGAATATACGTGGTTTTCTTGACATTTTTCGTCAATGTAAATCAAAAATTCCATTTAAATTCACCGCAACAAAATTTAATTTAAAAAAATGTTTTGTTTTTATTTATTTTTTATTAATTAACAGGTCAATGCTCTTTTGTAATTTGCATATTTTTTAATGCAAGTTTTATAGTTGAAAGTCTGTAATCAAGATTCACTTCGACTAATGAAGGCATAACTCGTGTGGAGACGACTGAGAAAATAATAAAATAAAATATCACGAAACTAAAAATATGCGCACGTAGATGTAACAATCCGTCGTCGAATTGTGCCGAATGGCGATGGCGGCGGTGCAGTAACTCTGTCCGGTGCGCCGGAGCGTAGTGTAATTGGCTTCATTAAATCATACCATAAAGTTGTCGGCTTGTGTGTAATTTAAAACGTCATTAGTGAGTTTACATGCTGAATAAAAAACGAGGGACGCGATTTAAGTGCAAGTCTTTCTTTTGTAAACTACTTTTAGAACAATGAATGTTTGATGTGGTAGGTATTCGCGCAACAAAAGTTTTCGTAAAATATTCAAAGTTAAATTTATCAACGTGCAGGTTTTTTATTTAGCTTGACGAAGAGTCGTTGAAAGAAATTTGAAACCTGTTCGACGTTCAACCTGCGCTGCAGGATGGGTATTTGCGCGTCGGAGGTCGTCGCTTGCCAGGAATAATTAAAAGGGTTTTATTTTCGTTGAGCGCCCGCGAGAGGTGCATTCTCGGCATTAAAAGTCAATATTAAAAGTGCTCGCGCGCAAAATCCACGCTCGTAAACGCAGAAATTGCTGTTAATATATACAATAAAATTACGACGCACGCTCTTTTATTTTCCCCGGCGCGCTGGTTATTAACGTATTCG